TATTCCTGCTTTTTGGCAGGGGGTTGGACTGGATGGCCCATGAGGTCTCTTCCTACTCTATGATTCTATGATGAAAAAGCTTCTCAGATTCTCTTCTGATTGGGAAAATGGGAATTGAGCATCATTTTAAAAAGCTTAATTCAATGGTTAAGTACATTTCTACAATTTCAGGATCATAGGCTCTGTCAGTATCTAAAATTGTGGGTTTGATTTCATAACACAAGAGAAGGTTTGTTTGGCTGAAGGAACAACCCATCCTTCTCAGATGTTCCAGCCCTAAAATAATCCAGGGGAGAAGCTTGGGGAGACCGAATTCAGCGATCAGAGAGAGAAAGCACCATATATTTCCAAAGCGATGGTCATGGAATCAAGGTTTGGCTTCCCCAGGCTTCTCTATCTCACCTTTGCGTTTTTCAGTGCTGAAAATCCAGATGTGTCTCACTGATAAGCCTTCACCTGACTTTCCAGGGTGAGTCAAGAGGGAAAAGGCTCTCCCCTGAGTCAGGGATATACAATAATCAGGCAAGGGGTTACCAGAAATCCTCTGTGAGCAAACCAGAAGCTCTTTCATCAGATGGCATCACGAGGCCGCGCCGTGCCTCATGGGTTGCTCTGCTTCAAGGTGTCAAACCTCAGCTCCTTTACGTAGAAAAGCCTTCAGTTGTGGCTGCGTACCATTTGGACGCCATCAAGCTTGACTCAGCAGGAGCCAGTTCAAAGCTGGCACGTTGGCTTCCCGCCCTTGAGGCTGTCGGTTGATAAGAAGAACGTTCTCCAAGCCAAAGACCCATTTCACACACTGTGATCGAGGCCACCTTTGTAGACCTCTGGGCAACTTCTACTTACCGGCTCTTCCATTCTCCAGCCCAGACCACTAAATTACTGTAAGGGAGGCTTTCAGTTGGAAAGGAATGAGTTAATATTCAGTGGGGAGCGAAAAGGCTGTGCCCAGAGGCAGCCCTAGGTAATTTTCAATGGTAAGCAAACAGTATTTGCCCCCCCCCCCCAACAATCGCTGATCTATACTTTCTATTCGTCGTGGGAGTTCTGTGTGCCATCATTGGTGGAGTTCCGAATGCTCTTTGAGTGTATGTTAACTATAAATCCCAGCAACTACAACTCCCAAATGACAAAATCAATCCCCGCAACCCCACCAGTATTCAAATTTGGGCAAATATCGGGGTTTTGTGCCAAGTTTGGTCCAATGAATGAAAATACATCCTGCATATCAGATATTTACATTAGCAAAATTACCGCTCTGCATCGCCTCTGGGCTGAGAAGGGCGGTATATAGCAATGAAAATAATTTTACGGTTGGGGGTCACCACGACATGGGGGACTGTATTAAGGAGTCACAGCATTAGGAAGGTTGAGAACCACTGTGCTAAGGAAACAATGTGTGATATTGAACGTTCCCAGTTTGATACACATTCATTACCTACACCAGTGTTTCTCAACCTGGGGGTCAGGACCCCTGTGGGGGTCGCGAGGGGGTGTCAGAGGGGTCGGCAAAGACCATCAGAAAATACAGTATTTTCTGTTGGTCATGGGGGTTCTGTGTGGGAAGTTTGGTCCAATTCTATCGTTGGTGGGGTTTAGAATTTCATTGTGGGCAAACTATAAATCTCAGCAATTACAACTCCCAAATGTCAAGGTCTATTTTCCTCAAAGTCCTCCAGTGTTCACATTTGGGCATACTGAGTATTCGTGCCAAGTTTGGTCTAGATCCATCATTGTTTGAGTCCACAGTGCTCTCTGGATGGAGGTGAACTACAACTCCAAAAACTCAAGGTCAATATCCATCAGACCCTCCCAGTATTTTCTCTTGGTCATGGGAGTTCTGTGTGCCAGAGTTGGTTCAATTCCATCATTGGTGGAGTTCAGAATGCTCGTTGATTGTAGATGAACTATAAATCCCAGCAACTACAACTCCCAAATGACAAAATAACCCCCCCCCCCAACCCCATCCGTATTCAAATTTGGGCATATCGGGTATTTGGGATTTGAAAATACATCCTGCATATCAGATATTTACATTACCTCACCTGCTTCATAGAATATCTGCTACAAAACAGGAGCTTTTTTGTTGAATTCCTGGGCCACAAAAGCAGATGGTGAAAACAGAAGAATGGCCTGCTTTAAGAGAGTGTGTTTACTCCATCAATGTTTAACATCTACACCAGTGTTTCTCAACCTGGGGGTCGGGACCCCTGGAGGGGCCGCGAGGGGGTGTCAGAGGGGTCATCAAAGACCACCAAAAAACACAGTATTTTCTGTTGGTCATGGAGGTTCTGTGTGGGAAGTTTGGCCCAAGTTAATCGTTGCTAGGGTTCAGAATGCTCTTTGATTGTAGGTGAACTATAAATCCCAGTAACTACAACTCCCAAATGTCAAGGTCTATTTTCCCCAAACTCCACCAGTGTTTACATTTGGATATATTGAGTATCTGTGCCAAGTTTGGTCCAGATCCATCATTGTTTGAGTCCACAGTGCTCTCTGGATGCAGGTAAACAACAACTCCCCAAACTCAAGGTCAGTGCCCACCAAACCCTTGCAGCAATAAGCAAGAGTCCAAAAGTGGCAGGCTAAAGCCCAGCACCTTAACCCATGGGTGATACTGGATGAGGGTTCATGGGAGTTCTGTGTGCCAAGTTTGATTCAATTCCATCTCTGGTGGAGTTCAGAATGCTCTTTGATTGTAGGTGAACTATAAATCCCAGCAACTACAACTCCTACAGGACAAAATCAATACCCTCCCCCAATCCAAACAGTATTCAAATTTGGGTGTATTGGGTATTTGTGCCAAATTTGGTCCAGTGTATGAAAATATATCCTGCATATCAGATATTTACTATACGATTCATAACAGTAGCAAAATTACAGTTATGAAGTAGCAACGAAAATAATGTTATGGTTGGGGGTCACCACAACATGAGGAACTGTACTAAGGGGTCGCGGAATTAGGAAGGTTGAGAACCACTGATCTACACTAACACGACTGTCGCAACATAGTAGGTTAGCCCACGGGTGCTTCTGCCGCTGACTTCATTCTCACAGTCGGGTTGCATCAAGCTTCACTTAGCCGGGGTCTCCATCCGATCTTACTCTCTTTTCTTACGATCACAGATGGAGACCATGGGAAAAGAGATTAAGAAGAGGAAAGAATGGTAGTAGACAAGATGGGATGAGCTAATGAAAGAGCAGCACACACACTTTTTTTGGGTCGCAACTGACGTGAGCCTCAAATGCCGAGTTGAAATAGCTATTTGTTTTTGCTGTTGTTGTGGGAGAAGACTGTGAACAAATCTCCCCACAATGGAAGATGCGATTGTTCCCCAGGAAGTTGTGGGCAGGCACAATGATGTGCTACCTTTCTCATTGCCTTGCGCAGTGCCTAAGAACCAAGGCAGCCTTGATGTTCCTCACACAGCCAAGGGTTTGGAAGGCACCAGACGTATGGAAGCTGGAGACGCGTACTCCCCTCCTAGCCCCAGGTCCTCCGGCTCAACCGTCACCATGAAGGCCTTCCTGGGCCTCATCACCGCATTTGTGATCGCGCAGCTGGTCGGGACCGCCATGTTTGGCTTGTATCTGCACATGAAGTTGGACAAGGTAAGGCTGAACTCAGCAGATGGAGTTGCTAGGACAGGCTGCAAGAGTAACCACATTTTCATGAGTGGGCGCCATCTTTGGCTTACCATCCAAGGACAAAAGGAGATCTTTAGAGGTCCTAGAATCATAGAATCAAAGAGTTGGAAGAGACCTCATGGGCCATCCAGTCCAACCCCCTGCCAAGAAGCAGGAATATTGCACTCAAAGCACCCCTGACAAATGGCCATCCAGCCTCTGTTGAAAAACTTCCAAAGAAGGAGCCTCCACCATACTCCGGGGCAGAGAGTTCCACTGCTGAACGGTCAGGAAGTTCTTCCTCATGTTCAGATGGAATCTCCTTTCTTGTAGTTTGAAGCCATTGTTCCATTGCGTCCTAGTCTCCAAGGCAGCAGAAAACAAGCTTGCTCTCTCCTCCCTGTGACTTCCCCTCACATATTTATACATGGCTATCATATCTCCTCCCAGCCTTCTCTTCTTCAGGCTAAACATGCCCAGCTCCTTAAGCCGCTCCTCATAGGGCTTGTTCTCCAGACCCTTGATCATTTTAGTCGCCCTCCTCTGGACACATTCCAGCTTGTCAATATCTCTCTTCAATTGTGGTGCCCAGAATTGGACACAATATTCCAGATGTGGTCTCACCAAAGCGGAATAGAGGGGTAGCATTACTTCCCTAGATCTAGACACTATGCTCCTATTGATCCAGGCCAAAATCCCATTGGCTTTTTTTGCCACCACGTCACATTGTTGGCTCATGTTTAACTTGTTGTCCACGAGGACTCCAAGATCTTTTTCACACGTACTGCTCTCGAGCCAGGGATCGTCCCCCATTCAGTATCTTTGCATTTCGTTTTTTCTGCCTAAGTGGAGTATCTTGCATTTGTCCCTGTTGAACTTCATTTTGTTAGTTTTGGCCAATCATCTCTCTAATCTGTCAAGATTGTTTTGAATCCTGCTCCTGTCCTCTGGAGTATTGGCTCTCCCTCCCAATTTGGTGTCATCTGCAAACTTGATGATCCTGTCTTCTAACCCTTCATCTAAGTCATTAATAAAGATGTTGAACAGGACCGGGCCCAGGACGGAACCCTGCTTGTGGCACTCCGCTCGTCACTTCTTTCCAGGATGAAGAGGAAGCATTAGTGAGCACCCTCTGGGTTCGTCCATTTAACCAGTTAACGATCCACCTCACTGTAGTTTTGCCTAGCCCACATTGGACTAGTTTCCTTGCCAGAAGGTCATGAGGGACCTTGTCGAAGGCCTTCCTGAAATCCAGGTTCGCTCCATCCACGGCATTCCCCGCATCTGTCCAGCTTGTAACTCTATCGAAAAAAGAGATCAGATTAGTCTGGCATGACTAGTTTTTGATAAATCCATGTTGACCATTAGCGATGACCGCATTTGTTTCTAAGTGTTTGCAGACCACTTCCTTAACAATCTTTTCCAGGATCTTGCCTGGTATCGACGTGAGGCTGACCGGACAGTAATTGTTTGGTTATCCTTTTTTCCCATCTTGAAGATTGGGACCACATTGGCCCTCCTCCAATCTGCTGGAACTTCTCCCGTTCTCAAGAACTCACAAAGATGATTGCCAATGGTTCGGAAATGACTTCCGCTAGTTCCTTCAATACTCTTGGATGTAGTTGACCTGGCCCTGGGGACTTGAACTCATTTAGAGTGGCCAGAGCTTAAAATGTTTCAATTGCGTTGGTTGTTCTATCAGGACAGGATCCAAAAGGAACCAAATTCTGATCAAAAGGAGGTCATTTTTAGTTAACCATCCAAGCTCAGATAAAGACCTTTAGAGAACCTAAACTCTTCAAACATTTGAGTGGCATTGGTTGTTTGGTCAGGAGAGGATCCAAAAGGAACCACATTTGCATGGGTTGGATGCCATTTTCAGCTTACCATCTGAAGCTGGATGGAGACCTTTGGAGGCTCTAATCACCACTTAGATTCTCTTGATCTTGTGTTCTTCTTTCTTAATAACTTTCCCTAACTTGGCCACTTTCTGATCTTGCTTTGTCTGTTTTTCCATCTGTGAAATATTGAAAGCTATGGGTCTTTCCCTTAGCTATTCCCTAGCTCATGTTTGAGTGCCAACTCACTGGGTTTGGTTGCCTCAGCCAAGGCCGTTCTAGATACGGAAGCTTAAATTGCTAATGGAACAGCATCTTCCATGACGCGATGTCATCGTAAACGCGCCAACTTTGCCCAATTTTGGATGTTAACCAATGGATGGCAGACCATCAGGGAACTTTCCAGAGTCTTGGGAACTATTCTTTCCTAGAGGTTGGTGGAGCTGAAGCTTCAGAGATAGATGGGCCAAGGGTCTGACTCAGTTTGAGACAATGCGACTAAAGTGATCAAGGGTCTGGAGAACAAGTCCTATGAGGAGCGGCTTAAGGAGCTGGGCATGTTTAGCCTGAAGAAGAGAAGGCTGAGAGGAGATATGATAGCCATGTATAAATATGTGAGAGGAAGCCACAGGGAGGAGGGAGCAAGCTTGTTTTCTGCTGCCCTGGAGACTAAGACACGAAACAATGGCTTCAAACTACAAGAAAGGAGATTCCATCTGAACATGAGGAAGAACTTCCTGACGGTGAGAGCCGTTCAGCAGTGGAACTCTCTGCCCCGGAGTGTGGTGGAGGCTCCTTCTTTGGAAGCTTTTAAACAGAGGCTGGATGGCCATCTGTCAGGGGTGGTTTGAATGCAATATTCCTACTTCTTGGCAGAATGGGGTTGGACTGGATGGCCCATGAGGTCTCTTCCAACTCTGATTCTCTGATTCTAATGCCCTTTGCTTCTTGGGGCAGATAAAGTGAGCCCTTGTTCTCCGCTGGATTTGTTTCCATAACGTATCCATGTCTATAGATGGTTAAGTTCCATGATATAGCAACATTGTGTCCCTTGTATAAAAGGGCACAGTCAAGGTTAGCATTTTGGGATATTTTCAATTCATGGATGGTTGAATCCCTGGATGCAAAATTTGTGAATCTGGAGGGTCAACTGCACAATTTTGACCTTCTAGGACAGGGGTCCTCAAACTACGGTCCGCGGGCCACTTCCGGCCCGCCAAGGACACTTATCCAGCCCATGGAGGAGGAGCCCCCCCCACACACAGTTGGGCGCTCCCTGTACCCAGCTCCTGTCAGTTGTGCGCTCCCTGTATCCAGCACCCGTCAGTTGTACGCTTCCTGTACCCAGCTTCCGTCAGTTGTGCGCTCCCTGTACCCAGCTCCCGTCAATTGTGCGCTCCCTGTACTCAGCTCCCGTCAGTTGTGCGCTCCCTGTACCCAGCTCCTGTCAGTTGTGTGCTCCCTGTACCCAGCTCCCATCAGTTGTGCGCTCGCTGTACCCAGCTCCCATCCGTAGCCTAACTACCAAGTGCTGGACTAATTGCAGCTTCTGGGCAGTCTTCAGAGGCAACCCCATGTAGAGAGTTTTGCAGTAATCTATATGGGATGTAACCGCTCTGAGTCCCCTCGGGGAGATATAGCAGAATATAAATGAATATAAATGTTATTATTATTATTACGCCTCCCAGGATCCCATAGGTTTGGCAATTTGAGTGGAATCAAACTGCATTCATTCTGCAGTGTAGATGGACGTCTTGCTCATCTATAGATGTCTCAGGCTGAACCTTCTCTTTCCTCAGGTGGGAGAGGAAATGAGTTTAGGAGAAGACGTTCTGTTTCTCCGAAGATTGCAGAAGTGCCGGAAACCGCAAGATGGTGGAGCAACCCTCCTGGATTGTGCAAAGGTTTTGAAAAGCTTCCAGGATCTGCAGGATCTAGCGAGCAAGGTAAGGACACAGCCTTGTGAAGGCTTTTGAGCAGAAAGGGAGCCCTCCAAGATGTATTTCCGAGAGGAAGAGACTCAATGCAACTATTCCACGATGACATGTTCATACTATTTGTACTACTGTGGCTCCAGCCAATGGAATTTATAGTTTGTGGAGGGAATTGGGATTCTCTGCTGGAAAGCTCCACTTCACTTCTCGGGGCACAGAAATTCCAAGCAGCTCACGCAACTGCAAATCCCAGAATTAAAGGGAGCAGAGTTATAAAAGTGGAATGGAATCATCTTCTAGAGGCATTTTCTCCTGACATTTCACCTGCATCTATGGCAAGCATCCTCAGAGGTAGTGAGGTCTGTTGGAAGTAGGAAAATGGGTTTATATATCCCAGGGTGGGACAAAGGACTTTTGTCTGCTGGAGCTAGGTGTGAATGTTTCAACTGACCACCTTGATTAGCATTTAATGGCTTGGAAGTGCCTGGGGGGAATCTTTTGTTGAGAGTATTTTGATGTGCCTGATTGTTTCCTCTCTGTTATTTTGCTGTTGTAATTTTAGAGTTTTTTTTTTAATACTGGTAGCCAGATTTTGTTCATTTTCATGGTTTCTTCCTTTCTGTTGAAATTGTCCACATGTTTGTGGATTTCAGTGGCTTCTCTATGTAGTCTGACATGGTGGTTGTGAGAGTGGTCCACCATTTCTGTGTTCTCAGATAATATGCTGTGTCCAGGTTTGTTCATCAGGCGCTCTGCTATGGCTGACTTCTCTGGTTGAAGTAGTCTGCAGTGCCTTTCATTTTCCTTGATTCGTGTTTGGGTGCTGCTGCGTTTGAAACATTCTCACCTAGCTCCAGCAGACAAAAGTCCTTTGTCCCACCCTGGTCATTCCACAGATATATAAACCCATTTTCCTACTTCCAACAGACCTCACTACCTCTGAGGATGCTTGCCATAGATGCAGGCGAAACGTCAGGAGAAAATGCCTCTAGAACATGGCCATATAGTCCGGAAAAACCTACAACAACCCAGTGATTCCGGCCATGAAAGCCTTTGACAAAAGTTTTTATTGTTGCTTAAATCTTCAATAAATCAAACAAATACTTCAAGGCTTTGGATCAACTGGTGGCTTGCTTAAATCTTGTCCACAAGGGACAGGCAACTTTCTTCATAAACTGTGTCTTCCTTCTACAAGGGAAATCCTTGTCCCCTCCCTGGGCAATCTGACTTAAGCTCTGTTGACGTGGGCCCCTACACCCGGTCCCAATTGCATTATGGCTGCCGCGAGTGGTCCTTACCAAACAGAGTCCTTTAGTAGATTTCCAAGAGGAAAGAAAGCTTTCAATTCCCAGCGAAGGCTGGCTGTAGAGTTGTGGAACTACATTCCCCAACAAAGGCTATGCTGTAGTTCTCTGTAGAGCTGTGGAACTGGATCCCTCCAGCAAAGATGAAGCTTTCTACAGGTGGAACTGATTCACGTCCTGTACGAAAGGCTTCTCTGTGTGAACTGAACTAGAGGTCCCCTTTTTCCCTCCTTAACCCAGAAAAAGGGGCGGAACTAAAGAACATAATGATAATTGATGGGTCATTGGCCCTATGAATGCAAACCAAGGGAAGCCACCTTATTGCAAAATGCATGGAACTCTGGAATAAATGCAAACACTCAATAGAAAGGGAAAGAAGTTGGAGCTCCTGGTACAGCCGTACCAACACATATTCAATTCCTTGTTATAATGACAATACAGCGAGACACAAATACACAAACAAAGGCAGAGGCTCCTCCTTTCATTTCCGGCTTCTGGAGGAGGTGCTCATCTCCAGCTCTGTGGGAGGTGCTGTTCTCAATTTCCAAGCCGAAGAGATTCTGATTGTCCGTAGACACCTCCTGGTCGTGTGGCCGGCATGAGTGCATGGAGCATCCTTATTGCCTTTCGCAGTCATTGATCTACTCACATTTGTATTTTTTTTTAACTGCTAGGTTGGCAGGAGCTAGGGCTAACAGTGGGAGCTCACCATTTCCCGCAGATTCGAACTGCCAAGCTTCAGCTCAACAGTTCAGCAGCACAAGGGTTTAACCCAGTGTTTCTCAACCTTCCTAATGCCGCAACCCCTTAATACAGTTCCTCATGTTGTGGTGATCCCGCCAATCATAAAATTATTTTCGTTGCGACTTCATAACTGTAATTCATAACTGTTATGAATTGTAATGTAAATATCTGCTATGCAGAATGTATTTTCATTCACTGAACCAAATAGGCCACAAATACCCAATAAGACCAAATTTGAATACTGGTGGGGTTGGAGGGGGATTGATTTTGTTATTTGAGAGTTGTAGTTGCCGGGATTTATAGTTCACCTCCAATCAAAGAGCATTCTGAACTCCACCAATGATAGAATTGAACCAAACTTGGCACACAGAACTCCCATGACCAACTGAAAATACTGGAAGGGTTTGGTGGGCATTGACCTTGATTTTTGGAGTTGTAGTTCACTTTTTTTTTAATTTTATTATTATTATTGTATAATACATAGAAACATACCATCTTTGAAAATAACATTCAAAATACCAGTTTTTTCCCCAATCCCGCCACCACCACAATCCCCCCCCCCCCCGGGAACAAATAAATACTTTAGCTGTGTTTATTACAATTGTTCAATCATGAGAATAGTTTTGTTCAACACCGTATATTTATCTTTCCCCTTTATTCTATATATGAGACCCTTCCATTTTGCTTTCCATGTCTTTTTGCTTTGACCCGTCATATAGTAACTTTTCCTTTCGCTAATATAATCTTGAAGAAGGTAATCTGCTAAATATTTGTACCAGGTTTTTGTATCCCATTTCACTTACATCCAGAGAGCACTGTGGCCACAAAAAATGATGGATCTGGACCAAACTTGGCATGAATACTCAATATGCCCAAATGTGAGCACTGGTGGAGTTTGGGGGGGAAAATAGACCTTGACATTTGGGTGTTGTAGTTGCTGGGATTTATAGTTCACCTACAATCAAAGAGCATTCTGAATCCCACCAATGATAGAATTGGGCCAAACTTCCCACACAGAAGCCCCATCACCAACTGAAAATACTGTGTTTTCTGATGATATTTGGTGACCCCTCTGGCACTCCCTCAAGACCCCCAGGTTGAGAAACGCTGGTTTAACACATTGTGTCAACCTTGGCCCCATATACTCTGTTTTTCTCTCTTTATTGAGACCTAAAATCATAGAATCATAGAGTTGGAAGAGACCTCATGGGCCATCCAGTCCAACCCCATTCTGCCAAGAAGCAGGAATATTCCATTCAAAGCACCCCTGACAGATGGCCATCCAGCCTCTGTTTAAATGTCTCCAAAGAAGGAGCCTCCACCACACTCCAGGGCAGAGAGTTCCACTGCTGAACGGCTCTCACAGTCAGGAAGTTCTTCCTCATGTTCAGATGGAATCTCCTTTCTTGTAGTTTGAAGCCATTGTTCCGTGTCCTAATTGACAACATTAAAACAATGTAATATAAAAACTTCAGTGTACAGTGAACTCTCAAGCAACTGGCAAAAAAAGAGAGTGAAATAATTATTTAAATGAAAATTAAAATATTTTTTTTAGCAGAAATGTTACATGAAGTTAGGTCTTCATTTGGTTTCAATATTAATATCAATACAAAGTTTATGATACGTTATAGTATTAATTATGCCTATTTGTAATACCAAAGCTCAAGCAAACAGCATCCAGCAATCCCCATGGGTGCTGGTTAATTGAGAGTTCATCCATAGGATTTTTTTCCCCCCTCATGTCAGGAGCGACTTGAGAAACTGCAAGTTGCTTCTGGTCTGAGAGCATTGGCCGTCTGCAAGGACATACCCCAGGGGACCCCCGAATGTTTTGATGTTTTCCCATCCTTGTGGGAGGCTTATCTCATGTCCCCATATGGGGAGCTGGAGCTGACAGAGGGAGCTCATCCACGTTCTCCCCAGATTCAAACCTCCAACCTGTTGGTCTTCAGTCCTGCCGTCACAAGGGTTTAATCCATTGTGCCACCAGGGGCTCCATTTCCATAGATGAAGGCCTGGAAGTGGTGCAAATCTGCTCCAGTGATGCGGTGCGGATGCATCTCTGCATTTGCATCCTTTGCAGAAGTCTCCTTGAACTCAAAGGAGCGTGCACTTCCCCACATTAAATGAATGGTGACGGGTGAGATGCCGTTTGCAACCGTTTATGCTTACCAGGCATTAAAAGCTTGCAACTCAAGAAAAGGGGTTCGAATTGGGAATGAAGGAGGAAACCAGAAAGGCAATGCTTGCCACTTGCCCTTTGCGTTTTCACACCCTACTTTGACTCACACACAACAAGTCATTCTTGTAGTTGGGTTGCTAAATGTAGACTTTCAGGTCCCAGCGTTTTCATGATGCAAAACCCAGCAGGGAAGTGGGACTTTCTTTTTGAATGCTTTGCAAGCAATCACTTCTTCTGTAGAGAACCTTTCTAGCAAAATAGCACTCAGAGCCGATGAGGAGGTGAAGTCGATAGGAATTTTAGGAGGGTCGTCCCCAGGAGGAGGGACCTTGAGACCCCACCAAAGAGGGATCGCTACTTTGGCGAGCTAGAGAAGCCTGATTTCAGCAATTTTATTGAATTAAAATATTCAAAATAAATCTCACCAAAGTTGAAGAAGCAGCACCGAGGTGTTTTTATTAGCGATTCAGCTCAAAAGGATGCAATGTAGCAATGTAGCAATGTAGAAATTTCAACAGAAAGGAAGAAACCATGAAAATGAACAAAATCTGGCTACCAGTATTAAAAAACTCAAAAATTACAGCAGCAAAACAACAGAGGGGAAACAAACAGGCACATGAAATCACTCTCAACAAAAGATTCCCCCCAGGCGCTTCCAAGCCATTGAATGCAAATCAAGGTGATCAGCTGAAACATTCACAGCTAGCCCCAGCAGACAAAAGTCCTTTGTCTCACCCTGGTCATTCCACAGATATATAAACCCATTTTTCCTACTTCCAACAGACCTCACTACCTCTGAGGATGCTTGCCATAGATGCAGGCGAAACGTCAGGAGAAAAATTGCCTCCAGAATATGGCCATATAGCCCGGAAAAACCTACAACAACCCAATGTAGCAATCATTAGAGCCAAAAATAACTTGAAGAAAGTCCAACGGTCACAAAAGGGTGCTTGATGATTTCCCACTGAGCCAAAGAATGGATTCCTTCAGTGCCAGGTTTGATCTGGTCCTTGATCCTTGGGAAACTACAACTCCTTCCAAGGACTGGGACCGTAAGGCCAGGCTCTTCCCTGAAAGCCTCATGGGGTAGCCGCACCTAGTCTCCAGGTCAGGGGCTTGGCAGAGGCGATGGAATGGCGAAGTGCAGAGCAACGGAGCTGGCTTTTTGACAATCAGCTGTTTCTTGTAAAATATATTCTTAAAACTTACATCATTATTCCCCGGGTGTAGATGCCCGAAATACAAAAAGCGAGATAGCAGATAGTGTTAGAATTAAGCTAGGAAAAATATGCCATCAAAATGGAGGCGATCCGCCATCTCACGGATACGGGGCCCCCTGGGGGTTTCCGTATCCGCGGTTTGGGGGAGCGCAGATTTGGCCTCCCCAAAACGCCAGGAAGGCATTCTGGGCAGGCCTGCAGTCTCCCGCGGCCTGGAAAAGGTTCGTTTCATGCATTGAGATAGTTTCAGGCAAGAAGAGACACAAAGTATCAAGCTAGAGAGTTAAAAGTTGCAATCTTTATTTGGAGATTTGTTACAAAGTTGGGGCTTGGTAGGGAAGTGAAAGGAAAGAGCCTACGGCTGTGCAGAGTCCCTGATTGAGCTTGCTGTTGGGGCACATTTCATCAGCTTGGCCCAATCTTTGCATCCAGGAACTGTGGAACTCCCTGCTGCTTGAAGGCAGGGGCCTGGGATGCCCTCGGTGACAAAGGGGCGCATTGACACTGAAGAACGAATGCGGGTTGATGCCACTTTAATAGCCATGGCTCAATGCTAAGCCTGGGAGTTGTAGTTTTGCAAGGTCTGCAGCCTTCTCTGCCAAAGAGCGTTTCCAGATTGTATCTAACCATATGCACACGTGCAATGAAATTGCCAGTCTAGTCCAGCGGGTTTAGGCAAGTGGGTTACACTGTTGAGCTGTTGGATTTGCTGACTGAAAGGTTGGCGGTTCAAATCTGGGGAGTGGGGTGAGCTCCCGCTGTCAGCCCCCGCTTCTGCCAACCTAGCAGTTCGAAAACATGCAAATATGAGTAGATCAATAGGTTCCACTTTGGGGGGAAGATAACAGCACTCTTGCAGTCATGCTGGTCATATGACCTTGGAGGTGTCTATGGACAACGCCAGCTCTTCAGCACCAACCTCCAGAGTCAGACACAACTAGACTTACTGCCAGAGAAAAACCTTTACCTTTACCTTTACCTTATATATTGAACTGATGTTATTCTGTATTTAATAATATATATTTTTCTCTCTCTCTCTTTCCCAAAATGAATTTGTCTAGGTTCCCCAAGAAAGTGCTCTTGCCATGCAAAAAGGTAAGTGGTTGCCTTTATTTTGGAAAGTTTCAGAGGAAGGAACTGGCAAAAACACCTCTGAATGTATTGTTGAAGGCTTTCATGGCCGGAATCACTGGATTGTTGTAGGTTTTTTCGGGCTGTATGGCCATGGTCTAGAGGCATTCTCTCCTGACGTTTCGCCTGCATCTATGGCAAGCATCCTCAGAGGTAGTGAGGTCTGTTGGAACTAGGAAAAGGGGTTTATATATCTGTGGAATGACCAGGGTGAGACAAAGGACTCTTGTCTGCTGGAGCTAGGTGTGAATGTTTCAACTGACCACCTTGATTAGCATACAATGGGCTGACTGTGCCTGGAGCAAACTTTTGTTGAGAGGTAATTAGATGTCCCTGCCTGCTTCCCCTCTGTTGTTGTGCTGTTGCAATTTTAGAGTTTTTTAATACTGGTAGCCAGATTTTGTTCATCTTAATGGTTTCCTCCTTTCTGTTGAAATTGTCCACATGTTTGTGTATTTCAATGGCTTCTCTGTGTAGTCTGACATGGTGGTTGTTGGAGTGGTCCAGCATTTCTGTGTTCTCAAATAAAATGCTGTGTCCAGGTTGGTTCAACAGAGAGGAAGCAGGCGGGGACATCTGATTTCCTCTCCACAAAAGTTTGCTCCAGGCACAGTCAGCCCATTGTATGCTAATCAAGGTGGTCAGTTGAAACATTCACACCTAGCTCCAGCAGACAAGAGTCCTTTGTCTCACCCTGGTCATTCCACAGATATATAAACCCCTTTTCCTAGTTCCAACAGACCTCACTACCTCTGAGGATGCTTGCCATAGATGCAGGAGAAACGTCAGGAGAGAATGCCTCTAGACCATGGCCATATAGCCCGAAAAAACCTACAACACCTCTGAATATTCATTATCCTGGGTGGGGGGAATCCTGAAGTTAATGGGGTCACTATGGTTGGATTTCTATTGCCATATAATGCCATTTGGAATGGCATTATACAGTGAGTGTAAACCAGTGGTTCTCAACCTTTCTAATGCTGCACCCCCTTCATACAGTTCCTCATGTTATGGTTTTGTTTTGTTTTTTTGCCGTGTCAGGAGCGACTTGAAAAACTGCATGTCGCTTCTGGTGTGAGAGAATTGGTCATATGCAAGGACGTTGTCCATGGGACGCCAGGATGATTTGATGTTTTTATCATCCTTTTATCATGTTATGGTGACCCCCAGCCATAAAATTATTTGCCCGCCAAACCGGAAGGGTTTGGTGGGCATTGACCTTGAGTTTGGGAGTTGTAGTTCACCTACATCCAGAGAGCACTGTGGACTTGAACAATGATGGATCTGGACCCAACTTGGCATGAAAATTCAACATGCCCAAATGTGAACACTGGTGGAGTTGCGGGAAAATAGACCTTGACCTTTGAGAGTTGTATTTGCTGGGGTTTATAGTTCACCTACCACAGTGTTTCTCAACCTACGGGTTGGGATCCCTGGGGGGTTGCAAGAGGGCTTTCAGAGGGGTCACCAAAGACCATCAGAAAGGGAATCTTTGATTGTAGATGAACTATAAATCCCAGCAACCACAACTCAAGGTCTATTTTCCCCAAACTCCATCAGTGTTCACATTTCGGCATATTGAGTATTTGTGCCAAGTTTGGTCCAGATCCATCATTGTTTGAGTCCAGAGTGCACTCAGGATGCAGGTGAGCTACAACTCCAAAACTCAAGGTCAATGCCCACCAAACCCTTCCAGTGTTTTCTGTTGGTCATTGAAGTTCAGTATGTCAAGTTTGGTTCAATTCCATCGTTGGTGGAGTTCAGAATGCTCTTTGATTGTAGGTGAATTATAAATCCCAGCAACTACAACTCCCAAATGACAAAATCAACATCACCCCCACCCCACAAGCATTCAAATTTGGGCATATTGGGTATTTGTGTACAAATTTGGTCCAGCGAATGCAAACACATCCTGCATATCAGATATTTACATTACGATTCAGTAGCAAAATTACTTATGAAGTAGCAACGAAAATAATTTTATGGTTGGGGTCACCATAACATGAAGAAGTGTATTAAAGGGTCACGGCATTAGGAAGATTGAGAACCACTGACCTACAATCAAAGAGCATTCTGAGCCCCACCAACGATAGAATTGGGCCAAACTTCCCACACAGAACCCCCATGACCAACAGAAAATACTGTGTTTTCTGGTGGTCTGACAGCACCTCATGACCCCCACCCAGGGGTCCCAACCCCCAGTTTGACAAACACTGGTGTAAACCCATGCAGTGCAGTTCAGCAATGCAGCATGGGTTTGCACATAGGACTCAGGGTGCATGTAAGCTGATAGGATTAATGCAGCTTGACATCATTTAAGTTGATTTCTAGATGTGTCTATGAGAGTTTGGTGAAGAAATGAACACAGGAAAATGAACGCTTTCTAAAAAAAATCATTTCAGGTGACAAGAGGCCCTCCGCAACCATTCACCTGGCAGGTTGGAAGGACAGCAACAAAGGTGAGCATCAAGGGTGAATACAAATCGAAAAAGGGTCAAAATGTTCCTCTTTTCTATCTTTCAATCCTGCCAAAACCAAGCACAGCACTTAGTGCAAAGAGCAAACATTCAGGAAGAATTTTTAATACTGGCAGCCAGATTTTGTTCATTTTCAGGGTTTCCTCCTTTCTTTTGAAATTGTCCACATGCTTGTGGATTTCAGTGGCTTCTCTGTGTAGTCTGACATGGTGGTTGTGAGAGTGGTCCAGCATTTCTGTGTTCTCAAATAATATGCTGTGTCCAGGTGTTATAGAGCTAAAATTTAGGGGTCTTTGCCAGGAGGCAGAGACCAATTAGACTCCTCAAAGAGTTCTTTTTTTCCTGGTGAGACAGAGAAGCATCCCATGTTTTTCCCTGATTTCCCAATGAAAAGTCTCACCAGTTGAAGAAAGGCCATCGAAGTTTAATGCGATTCAGCTGAAACCGGATGCAAAGCTGCAATCATTCGCCAAGCTAAGCATGAGGGGAATACACCAATACAGTCATATTTATAGCATATTCAAAGTTGTAGAGTTCAAACTCCCCGCCCCAGCTTCCCTGTTGTTCCCTGCCATGATTGGGCGATGGGCTCCAGTGGTCTGTAGGAACCAATGGGGAGAGCTCTGCCACCTGGTGGCGACAGCCAATCAGGAGATATGGAGGTGGGATGAGGGAGCACAAAGGAATCTGGGAAAGGGGTCCTTAAACAAAGGAATGCCATGTGCTCTTGTGAGACAAAGGGTCAACATGTGTCCTGATCCTTCCTGGCTGTGAGACAGGAGAACAATGATGGCAGCCTGAAGTTAATGCGAACTAAACAAAAGCAGAAGGGGAAGGTTTCCCCTTATCTTACAGAAACTTTTGTCAAACAATGCTTTACTCTAGTGGGCCATCTTCCGAGGCTAGAGATAAGAATCTCCTTCTTTTATCCATGCAAGTGTGTCTTTGGCAGGAGGTTTCAGTCTTTTGTTTCTGAAGGCCAGGGGGTTCCCTTACATATTTCTTTGGAGGGAGAAGGGGCAAAGGGGCAAAAATACAAGGAAACATAAAAACCATATAGAAATTATACACAGGGAAATCATATGCAGGTATCTTCCCATCCAGGACCCCAGAGAGAGATTAATAATACCAATTATAAAAAGCAGACGATATCAGGACACAGCATGAATTCATAAGTTGTCTTGAAGAAAGTTCATGGGTAGGGAGCGAGTCCTTGAAGAGAGTGAAGTCCAGGAATGTAGCAGAATTCAAAAAGCCACCAAAGGGAGTCTATGGAGTTCCACTGGGCCAAGATGCAAAGCCCTGCAGAGCTGGGATGGAAACCGGTCCCATGGTCCTTGGAAAACTACAGCTCTCTCTCTCGAGAGAGAGGCAGAGACCCCAAGGTCTAGCCATTCCCAAAGTTTCATGGGGTCCTCATTGTTTGTTAAGGCCATGACAAATTGACCAAGACTTAACCCCTATTGTGCAGTCTGGTACCTTTGTCCTTTGCAGAACTATAAGTCACCATCCCTTGTTAGGAGGGGGGAGTCATGCTTGGCTTCACAGGTTGGTTCATCAGGCGCTCTGCTATGGCTGACCTCTGGTTGAAATCATCTGCAGTGCCTTTCATGTTCCTTGATTCGTGTTTGGGCACTGCAGACTACTTCAACCAGAGAAGTCAGCCATAGCAGAGGACCTGATGAACCAACCTGGACACAGCATATCAGTTCAAATCTCGCCTTCCTTCCTTCCTTCGCTCCCTCTTTCCTTCGTTCCTTCCTTTTTTCCTTTCCTTCTCTCTTTCCTCCCTCCCTCCCCCCTTTTCTTTTATTTTCCTTCTTTCTCTCCTTTCTTCCTTCTCTCTTACCTTCCCTTGCTCTTCGCTTCCATCCCTCCTTCTCTCTTTCCTGCTTTCTTTCCCTCCCTCTTTCTCTCTCTCCTTTCTTCTCTGCCGCTTCCCTTCCTTCCCTTCTTTACCTCTTGCCTGGGCGCTGGAAGGAAGGATCCTCGGAGCCAGGCGCTTTGGAGGCAGGCTTCGCTCACCCAATGCCGCCCCTTTTCTCTGCCATGGCTGCGGGCACCTTCTCGCCTGTTTGCCGGTTGGGCATGCCGTTGGTGCCTCTTGCGCTGGCTATGCTCGCACGACGGGGGTGAAGGGAAAAGAATGGGTTTGAACGCATGCGCAGTGTTCTCTTTTAAAATTTAAGGTCTTACTGTATTTTGGGAGGAATTTTTTTGAGTGCAGGACATAGATTGCTCTGAATGTTGTGTTGTGTCCAAATTTGATATCAATTCCCCCAGTGGTTTTTGAGTTCTGTTAATATTACAAACGAACATTACATTTTTATTTATATAGATTACTAGCTGTACCCGCCACGCGTTGCTGTGGCAAACCTTCCCTCCCCCTTTCTCCTCCTTCTTTTTCTCTCTCCTTCCTTCCCTCCCTCTTTCCTTCTTCCCCTCTTTTTCTTTCTCTTCTTCTTTCTTCCTTCTCTGTTTCTTTTCTTGCTTCCTTTGCTGTTTGGTTTCATCCTTCCTTGTCTCTTTCCTTCCTTCCTTCTCACTTTTGTTCCTTCTCTCCTTCCTTCCTTCTTTCACTTTTTTATTTCCTTCTCTCTTTCCTTCCTTCTCTACCTTTCTTTCTTTCCTTCTCTCCTTCTTTCCCTCTTCCTCTCTTTTCTTCCTTCTCTATCTTCCTTCCTTCCTTCCTTCCTTCCTTCCTTCTCCATCTTCCTTTCTTTCTTTCTTTCCTTCTCTCCTTCTTTCCCTCCTCTCCCCTTCCTTCCTTCTCTACCCTGCTTTCTTTCTTTCCTTCCCTCCTTCTTTCCCTCTTTCTCTCCCTCCTTTCTTCTCTATCTTTCTTTCTTTCCCTCTTTCTCTCCTTCCCTCCTTCTTTCCCTCTTTCTCTCCCTCCTTTCTTCTCTATCTTTCTTTCTTTCCTTCTTTCTCTCCTTCCCTCCTTCTTTCCCTCTTTCTCTCCCTCCCGTTTCGTGTCGTTTTAGTTGCCCTCGGCGGCCCCCCGCAGCTCCCATGCCCTCCCCGAGCGTGAGTGCTTACATCGGTCTGGTGGGCTTTCTCAGGCTGGGCTCGTGTAGAGGGAGGCAGGCAGACGGCAGTGCGCATGCGGAGGGAGATTTGGGCGCGGGGGAAGCTGGGAAATGGAGTCCTTCCTCATCATATTCCTCCCGCGGCAGTGCGCATGCAGAGGGAGATTTGGGCGAGAGGGAAGCTGGGAAATGGAGTCTTTCCTCATCGTTTTCCTCCCGAGGCCTCTGCACATGCTCCGTGTTTTTTGGGTATTGTGCATTTGTGTTGTTGCATATTGGTGTTTTGAGGGTTGTTGGTCATACCTTGGGGGAAGAGGTATTAGCAGGGCAAATGTGGTGAGATTTCATCCAGTGGTTTAGCCGTTTTTGACCGCCTAATTACGACCTTAAGGTTCTTATATATATAGATGCAGAATACAACCTCTACTTATTCTTTCCCATAGTTTTGCAATGGAAGAAGACCATCTACGCCCCAACGGATGACACATTTTCTTACCAAGATGGAAAACTTACCATAATCCGAGGAGGGCGATACTATATCTACTCCCAGGTGGCCTTTTGCGCCAACCCGGTGCCCCATGTGCCGTTCAGTGTCAACCTGTACCTTCACTTGCCGTCTGAACGTGATAAGCTCCTACTGAAAGGCGTGGGGACTCAAGGCGGAACGAACGACATTTGCGGCTTGCAGTCCATTCACCTCGGGAGAGCCGTCGAACTCCAGCCGGGACACGCCATCTTTGTGAATGTGACGGACTCTTCTAGAGTGAACTACAACCACGAAAACACGTACTTTGGCATGTTCGAACTCTCCTAGGAGGAGTGGCCTCGCTTTGCTGAGCAAAGCCATGTCCCCTACCCCAAATAATATTTATAACTTCCTCCCTTCTTCTTCATTGTATATTTTATTTTATTTATTCATGTTAATCCTGGGAGCTAAAATGTAATGCCGCGACACCATACCACTCCAAAAAGTGTGTGGTAGTTGCTAGTTGCGTAACATTGTGTGAGGGTTAACATGCTCTCTCCCTAAGAGCTTGTGTGCGGGCATAACAAGTCTTAGGGTTGCTGTCCCTGTTGTTTATATCCCATTATCTATCTATCTATCTATCTATCTATCTATCTATCTATCTATCTACCCATCCTTTCATCCACCCACCCACCTAGCCACCCACCCACCCATCCATCCATCCATCCATCCATCCATCCATCCATCCATCCATCCACCTACCTACCTACCTACCCATCCATCCATCCATCCATCCATCCATCCATCCATCCATCCATCCATGTTTGTGGCTATTGCGAAGGAAAATGTAATACCTCCTTGCGCAATATCCATAGCCAGAGTAGGCTTAGCAAAACAACTCTTCAGTTTGCTTCCCCTGTTGCTTATATCCCATAATACAAATCGAAATGCAACTTCTATTTGGAGGTATGACACATCAGAATATGTGGTGCATGTGTAACAGAAGTGTACGCTCTTTTGGGGGGGGGGGGAGGGAATTGGCAAAGGAAGATATAATATCTCCTTGTGCAATATCCAGAGCCAGTTTAGGCCAATGTGAGAAATCCTGTTGACTCCAGAGTCAAATGTGTGTGTGTGTGTGTGTGTGTGTGTGTATACACACACACATGCATTTGACCCTTGGATTCCCCACATTAGCCTAGACTGGCTGTGAATATGTGTGTGTGTGTGTGTGTACACTCTCACACACATACATATGACCTTTGAATCAGCAGGATTCCCCACATTGGCCTAGACTGGCTCTGGATATTGCACAAGGAGGTATTATATGAAATCTTGAGTAATAGTATTAATAAGAATACCTACAATTTACCGAGCTGGTATGCGTAACACGGGTGTACATTACTTTTTTGGGGGGAATATTGCGAAGGAAGGTTTAGTATCCACAGCAAAAGCAGGTGATATTGCTGATCCCGATGTGTATATATATTATATATATTTTCAAACTTCTTGAATAATATTATTAATAAAAAATATATTTTTAAATTCATGCTGCTGTTTGGTATAAAAGGGGAGATAATGTATAATGTATTATCTAAGTTGAACTGAAGGCCATAATATCTTAATTTTATAAAAGAAATGAATAATATCGTTATCGTTATCGTTGTTATTAAAATAAAGATAAAGGTTTGACATTAAGTCTAGTCGTGTCCGACTCTGGTGGGTGGTGTCCATTTCCATTTCTAAGCCAAAGAGCTGGCGTTGTCCATAGACGCCTCCAAGGTCCATGACTGCATGGAGTGCCGTTACCTTCTGGAGCAGTACCTATTGATCTACTCACATTTCTATGTTTTCTAACTCCTTGTTGGAGTTCAGCCTGTGATTGTGTCTAATGATAAGGGTACTCTGGATATTGGGAGTGTCAATGAGGTTCATGTGTCTAATGATGAGGTTGCTCTAGTTGCAGAGAATGACGATGGGGTTCCTGTTCAAAGGGACTTTTCTGATGGGAATGTTCCTGAAGGGTTCGGGGATGATGGGCTTGAATTGTTACCAGAGAATTCCCAAGGCTTTGAGCCTGAGAAAGTCTCAGCACCTGGGCCAACTGCAGAAAATAATGAGCCAGTAGATAGGAGAAATGCTTTCAGTCAGCAAAGACAAGCAAACCAGGCTCTCAGGCCCCTGCCAGATTGCGGGAGAGACTGATAACGAATTCAAGGCTGAAAATAAACCCATTCCTGGCTGCTTGTGATATATGGTAGATTAGGGGATAAAAGTGCCAAGTACAGAATCTGTAGCCAGACGAAGCAACGTTGGAATTGAGTCAAGACTTTGTCTCAGGTCTCTGGAACCTTGTCTTGGATAGATTCCTGTGTTAAGTGAATCAAAACTTTGGGAAAAGGTTTCAGGATGTATACTACGTATGGGTAAACTTTGGTCCTCCAGGTGTTTTGGACTGCAACTCCCACAATTCCTAACAGCCTACCGGCTGTTAGGAATTGTGGGAGTTGCAATCCAAAACACCTGGAGGACCAAAGTTTGCCCATGCCTAAACAAACCACACATGTCGTTCTATTTCTTTAAAACCCTTCTTTATTGTGTCGAAAACCACAATTTAAAAATTGCTCAAAATAAAAACAGGTTTAGAAAAAAGTGTAACTTGCATCAGTCATCCTGACGGCCAATGAAAACAATAACATGACAAGAGGGGAAAAAATGGAAGGCAAAGGGGAGAATAAGAGCTTATTTACAAAGAGCTTGTAAACACATTACGCGTCGGGAACACTGCAATCAGATCGACATGGCTTTTCTTCCTTTCTGGGATCGCCTTGGCTTTCACAACGCAACCTTCAAGAGGCCTGTATGGAAGTTATGTCTCTTCCTTTTGGAAGGGTGTGTCTGCACTATAGAACTAATGCAATTTGACACCACTTTGACTACTCTTGGCTCAGTGCTATGAAATCATTGGGAGTTGTAGCTTGCTCTCTTTGGCAGAGGAGACTTTGTCAAACGACAGCTCCCATTGTCCTATCATGCTGAGTCACGGCAGTGAAAGTGTTGCCAAACTGAATTAATTCTACAGTGTAGATCAGGCATGGGCAAACTTAGGCCCTCCAGGTGTTTTGGACTCCAACTCCCACCAATAACTTCAGAGCAAAAACCAGAGTACAATGTCTTTTAGCAGTGTTGCCTCCTCCAAAGGGCCTGAAAACAACCCACTAATTTAAGTCCTCCAAGCCACCCATAACATTATGCCTCACGCACCTGGATCTCTTAGCCTTGTCTCTGAGCTTCTGTGAAAATCTTATTTGCTGACTTTTAACACATGGAAATCTCAGATCTAGTTTAATTTACCTTCAAACCACCCCCCCCCCCCACCTTAGCCCAAGGCCATGTCTTTCATTTTCCCCTTTTGCCGGTGAATGAGTTACCTGGAGGGCCCAAGTTTGCTCATGCCTGATGTAGATGCACCCTTGGAGAGCATTTGTGACTCCAAAGTCTTTAGAATTGCAGCCTTAACATTTCCTTATCATACATACATAGTCATACATATATATTTTAACATTTGGTGCATACAGTGCAAGTAAGTATCGGGGTTTGATAGTGAGACGATCAGCATTTTCCAACTATTTAATTCCAAGGAGAGACATTAGACTGTGAATGGAGAGCATAGCAAAGTGGTATCGTCCCATCTCCTCCCTCGCTGGCAGCTGGGGACGATGGGAGATGTAGTCCAGCCACATCTATACAAGGCTGAGGCAGCTTGCATGAAGGTTTGAGCCGGAGAAGGAGGAAGGAGTTGGATGGCGACTCCCAGCCGAAATGACCCTCCCTAAGATTCTGGGACTTGTTGTCCCCACTTTACTTTAAGGTTTCTTCATTGTTTACTCTTCCTGATATATTGGGATCATTTCCACCAGGAATTATTCCACTCCAACTATCGAGGAAATATAACTCTGCCAGCCAAACCAGTGAAATGTAATAGAGGGAAGACACAACGCCATGCGAAGAACCAGGTGTCAATGCAGCGTGCGGGTTGGAATTATTATAGACAGGGCTGGTTCATTTGCATATTGTGTCGTCAAAGGCTATCATGGCCGGAATCACTGGGTTGCTGTGAGATTTCAGGGTTGTCTGGCTATGTTCCAGAAGCATTCTCTCCTGACATTTCGCCCACTTCTATGGCAGGCATCCTCAGTGGTTGTTAGGTTTGTTGGAAACTAGGCAAGTGGGGTTTATATATCTGTGGAATGATGCCCAGGGTGGGAGGAAGAGCCAGAAAGCAGCCAGGCTTTGAAGCTGCAAGGCTATTCTGTCCTAATGCTGTTGTTTTATTGATGTGTTGGGCCTCGGCCTTTTGTAAGTCCTTCGGGAGATGTTAGCGGGCTATAAATAAATTATTATTATTATTATTATTATTATTATTATTATTATTATTATTATTATTATCAAGGTGGCCAATTGCAACATTTACACCTGCTTCCAACATACAAGACTTTTTTCTCCCATCCTGGATATTATTCCACAGTTATAATAATATAATAATAATTTTATTTTTATACCCCGCCAACCATCTCTCTTAGGGGACTCAGGGCGGCTTACAAGGGACACGGCCAAGATTACAATTAAAACACACATGTAAAACACTTTAACCATTTTTTTGTCGTGTCAGGAGCGACTTGAGAAACTGCAAGTCGCTTCTGGTGTGAGAGAATTGGCTGTCTGCAAAAATGTTGCCCAGGGGACGCCCAGATGTTTTGATGTTTTATCCTTGTGGGAGGCTTCTCTCATGTCCCCGCCTGGGGAGCTGGAGCTGATAGAGGGAGCTCATCCGCGCTCTCCCTGGATTCGAACCTGCGACCTGTCGGTCTTCAGTCCTGCCGGCACAGGGGTTTAACCCACTGCGCCATCGGGGGCTCCTTTAACCAATTAAAACATCAGATAAAACAAATAACAATACAATTGAAAGCAAAAAAAAATTGTCGTGTCAGGAGCGACTTGAGAAACTTCAAGTCGCTTCTGGTGTGAGAGAATTGGCCGTCTGCAAGGACGTTGCCCAGGAGACGCCTGGATGTTTTGATGTTTTATCATCCTCATGGGAGGCTTCTCTCATGTCTACGCATGAGGAGCTGGAGCTGATAGAGGGAGCTCATCCGCCTCTCCCCAGATTCGAACCTGCGACCTGTCGGTCTTCAGTCCTGCCGGCACAAGGGTTTAACCCACTGCCACTGGGGGCTCATTTAACCAATTAAAACATCATATAAAACAAATAACAACACAATTGAAAGCAATATAAAAACAATACGGTGTCATAGCTGAGGTACAGTTCAATGTTTCTCAACCTGGGGGTCAACACCCCGGGGGGGGGGTCACGAGATGGTGTCAGAAGGCAAAGACATCAGAAAACACAGTATTTTCTGGGAGTTGGAGTGGGGGTTCTGTGTGGGAAGTTTGGCCCAATTCTATCGGTGGTGGGGATCAGAATGCTCTTTGATTGTTGGAAGAAAGGAGATTCCATCTGAACATAAGGATGAACTTCCTGACTGTGAGAGCCGTTCAGCAGTGGAACTCTCTGCCCCAGAGTTTGGTGGAGGCTCCTTCTTTGGAAGCTTTTAAACAGAGACTGGATGGCCATCTGTCAGGGGTTATTTGAATGCAATATTCCTGCTTCTTGGCAGGGGGTTGGATTGCATGGCCCATGAGGTCTCTTCCAACTCTTTGATTCTATGATTCTATGATTGTAGGCGAACTATTAATCCCAGCAATTACAACTCCCAAATGTCAAGGGCTATTTCCCCCAAACTCCACCAGTGTTCACATTTGGGCATATTGAGTATTCATGCCAAGTTTAGTCCAGATCCGTCATTGTTAAACACAGTGCTCTCGGATGTAGGTGAACTACAACGCCAAAATTCAAGGTCAATGACCACCAAACCCTTCCAGTATTTTTTGTTGGTCATGGGAGTTCTGTGTACCATGTTTGGTTCAATTCCATTGTTGGTAGAGTTCAGAATGCTCCACCAACAATGGAATTGACTATAAACCCCAGCAACTACAACTCCCAAATGACAAAATCAGCCCTCTCCCCTCAACGCCACCAGTATTCAAATGTGGGCGTATCAGGTATTTTTGCCAAATTTGGTCCAGTGAATGAAAATACATCCTGGATATCAGATATTTACATTACGATTCATAACAGTAGCAAAATTACAGTTATGAAGTAGCAACAAAAATAATTTTATGGCTGGGGGTCACCACAACATGAGGAACTGTATTAAGGGGTCGCGGCAATAGGAAGGTTGAGAACCTTTGCCACAGATATATCAACCTCACTTGCCTACTTTCCAACAGACGTCACAAGCTCTGAGGATGCTTGCCATAGATGTGGGCAAAACGTCAGGAGAAAAAGCTTCTGGAACATGGTCAGACAGGCTGGAAAACTCACAGCAAACTAGGTTCTTGTGGGTTTTTTCGAGCTATAGGGCCAGGTTCTAGAGGCATTTCTCCTGACGTTTCACCTGCATCTATGGCAAGCATCCTCAGAGGTAGTGAGGTCTGTTGGAATTAGGACAATGGGTTTATATCTCTGTGGAATGGCTGGGGTGGGGCAAGAGCTCTTCTCTGCTGGAGCTAGGTGTGAATGTTTCAACTGACCACCTTCATTAGCATTTGAAGGCCTGCTGAGCCTGGGAAAATCTTTTGTTGAGAGGTGTTAAGATGTGCCTGGTTGTTTCCTTTCTGCTGTTTTGCTGTTGTAATTTTAGAGTTTTTTAATACTGGTAGCCAGATTTTGTTCATTTTCATGGTGTCCTCCTTTCTGTTGAAATTGTCCACATGCTTGTGGATTTCAATGGCTTCTCTGTGTAGTCTGACATGGTGGTTGTTGGTGGTCCAGCATTTCTGTGTTCTCAAATAATATGTTGTGTCCAGGCTGGTTCATCAGGTGCTCTGCTATGGCTGACTTCTCTGGTTGAAGTAGTCTGCAGTGTCTTTCATGTTCCTTGATTCGTGTTTGGGCGCTACGTTTGGTGATGCTAATGAAGGTGGTCAGTTGAAACATTCACACCTAGCTCCAGCAGAGAAGAGCTCCTTGCCCCACCCCAGCCATTCCACAGATATATAAACCCATTGTCCTAATTCCAACAGACCTCACTACCTCTGAGGATGCTTGCCATAGATGCAGGCGAAACGTCAGGAGAAATGCCTCTAGAACATGGCCCTATAGCCCGAAAAAAACCCACAAGAACCTAGTGATTCCAGCCATGAAAGCCTTCGACAACTCACAGCAAACTATTTGCATATTGCTCAGTTTAACGAATATGTCCTTTTCGACTACAGAATGCAAACGAGGGCCCTCTGTACACAATGAAACAGCTATAATTTCTTTCTCATTCGAAGGGGAGATGAGTGAACATTCATCCGGTTCGCTTGTGCAAAATTCAGCACGCAAATGAAAACATCTGAAATATTTCACACTTTCTACCATAACAGAATCTCTTCTAAGAGTATTTAATTTAATCTCTTGAAAACCAATTCTGGGCACTAAACATGGAGGTTGTTTGTTTGTGATTCTTTCCAAAATAGTCTTCAAATACTTTGTTGAAAGAGTGACACAAACAAGGACTTAATCTTAACAGTCTGGATGAGTTCTTATCGATGGATGGATGATGAGGGGTGTTCATTAAAGATAGAGTTACAAGCTGGGTAGATGCGGGGAATGCCGTGGATGGAGCATATCTGGATTTCAGTAAGGCCTTCGACAAGGTCCCCCATGACCTTCTGGCAAGGAAACTAGCGCAATGTGGGCTAGGCAAAGCTATGGTGAGGTGGATCTGGAATTGGGTAAATGGACGAACCCAGAGGGTGGTTCTCCCCAAGGCTTCCTCTTCATCCTGGAAAGAAGTGACAAGTGGAGTGCCGCAGGGTTCCGTCCTGGGCCCGGTCGTGTTCAACATCTTTATTAATGACTTAGATGAAGGGCTAGAAGGCAGGATCATCAAGTTTGCAGACGACACCAAATTGGGAGGGAGAGCCAATACTCCAGAGGACAGGAGCAGAATTCAAAACGATCTTGACAGATTAGAGAGATGATTGGCCAAAACTAACAAAATGAAGTTCAATGAGGAAAAATGCGAGATACTCCACTTTGGCAGGAAAACGAAATGCAAAGATACAGAATGGGGGACAATGCCTGGCTCGAGAGCAGTACGTGTGAAAAAGATCTTTGAGTCCTCGTGGACAACAAGTTAAACATGAGCCAACAATGTGATGTGGCAGCAAAAAAAGCCAATGGGATTTTGGCCTGCATCAATAGGAGCATAGTGTCTAGACCTAGGGAAGTCATGCTACCCCTCTATTAGACCACACCTGGAATATTGTGTCCAATTCTGGGCACCACAATTCAAGAGAGATATTGACAAGCTGGAATGTGTCCAGAGGAGGGTGACTCAAATGATCAAGGGTCTGGAGAACAAGCCCTATGAGGAGCGGCTTAAGGAGCTGGGCATGTTTAGCCTGAAGAAGAGAAGGCTGAGAGATGATAGCCATGTATAAATATGTGAGAGGAAGCCACAGGAAGGAGGGAGCAAGCTTGTTTTCTGCTGCCCTGGAGACTAGGATATGAAACAATGGCTTCAAACTAAAAGAAGGGAGATTCCATCTGAACATGAGGAAGAACTTCCTGACTGTGAGAACCGTTCAGCAGTGGAACTCTCTGCCCCGGAGTGTGGTGGAGGCTCCTTCTTTGGAAGCTTTTAAACAGAGGCTGGATGGCCATCTGTCAGGGGTGATTTGAATGCAATATTCCTGCTTCTTGGCAGAATGGGGTTGGACTGGATGACCCATGAGGTCTCTTCCAACTCTTTGATTCTATGATTCTATGAAGTGGGTCTGCGGAAATCTTTAATGAACGCCCCTCGTAATTCGGATCCAACCTGCCAAAGTCTACCAATGAATAAAAATGAATGATTCTAAGGAAAAAGCATCCCTTGATTTCAAGAGGATAGAAATAGATATTGCAGCAGGTCTATTATTATTATTATTATTATTATTATTATTATTATTACTATTAAGGATGGGAGAAACTGAACTCATTTTCCTGATTATCTGAGAAACGAAGTGCAAATTACCTTTGGTTTTTTACCTGATTGCGATTCAAGAAACCATTCCTTCCCACACGCCCTCCCCATCAATAAATAAAGTCAAAGGCATCGAAAAGAATCAAGAAAAGGAAAAAGGAAAGGCAGAGAAAAGCTTTCTTTTTCTTTTTTTGCATTTCCTGTGAAGTTTCCACTCTGCAATCTTCACCCAGAACAGCAAAAGTCCATATTCCTAGAAGAAGGTGCACTGAAGTCACGGAAGTTTGAATGACTCAAAGGGGCATAAGTGGAATATTTTTATCAAGCAACCATCACTGGTTTCCACTGGCGTGGAAAACGGACTTCTTGAATGGGGCAAACGAAAGAGTAGCGCAGCCGTTGTCCTTCCTTTCTTGCTGGCAAACGAATGGAAACCAAACTCAGGAGCAAATAAAATGCACACACAGAGGCACACAAAAATATAAAGAGCGAGAGGCATCCAACGCTATGATCCGACTTCCTAGGAATACCTGCTTTCATGTCCAACCCGGCTTTAAGAAATCAAGCCAGGACCGAAGATCTCCGGACGGTTTCATCCCGAACGCATTCGTCTGTCTGCTTCAGCAACCGCCGAACCAACTTCTCCAATTCTTTCCTCGACTTCAGTTCTTCTTCCAAGCATTGCCTCATCCGTTTATTCTCCTACAGCACAGCAAAGAGAAAGGAACAAAACTAATCAAGGTGGTCAGTTGAAACATTCACACCTAGCTCCAGCAGACAAGAGTCCTTTGTCCCACCCTGGTCATTCCACAGAAATATAAACCCATTTTCCTACTTCCAACAGACCTCACTACCTCTGAGGATGCTTGCCATAAATGCAGGCGAAACGTCAGGAGAAAATGCCTCTATAACAGTGGTTCTCAACCTTACTAATTCCGCGACCCCTTAGTACAGTTCCTCATGTGGTGGTGACCCCCAACCATAACATTATTTTCGTTGCTACTTCATAACTAATTTTGCTACGGTTATGAATCGTAATGTAAATATCTGATATGCAGGATGCACAAATGCCCAATACCCCAAAATTTGGTTACTGGTGGGGTTGGGGGGATTGATTTTGTCATTTGGGAGTGTTGGAGTTGCTGGGATTTATAGTTCACCTAAAATAAAAGAGGCTTCTGAACTCCACCAGTGATGGAATTGAATCAAACTTGGCACTCAGAATTCCCATGACCAACAGAAAATACTGGAAGGATTTGGTGGGCATTGACCTTGGGTTTTGGAGTTGTAGTTCACCTACATCCAGAGAACACTGTGGATTGAAACAATGATGGATCTGGACCAAACTTGGCATGAATACTCAATTTGCCCAAATGTGAACAATGGAGGAGTTTGAGGAAAATAGACCTTGACATTTGGGAGTTGCAGTTGTTGGCACCTATAGTTCACCCACAATGAAATAACATTCTGAACCCCATCAACGATAGAATTGGACCAAACTTCCCACACAGAACCCCCATGACCAACAGAAAACACTGTGTTTTCTGATGGTCCTTGGCGACCCCTCTGACACCACCTCGCGACCCCCACAGGGGTCCCGACCCCCAGGTTGAGAAACACTGCTCTAGAACATAGCCATATAGCCCGGAAAATCCTACAACAACCCAGGAACAAAACTGTTGCAACTCAGGGTAGTTTTCACCTTGCTCAAGACATCAACTCTCACCAGGGCTGTAGGTTTTGTAGTTTATTGAGAAAAAGCAAAATCAAAACAGAGAAATAGAAATGCAAAGTTCCATAGGCAAAACAGAGTCTTAAATGTAAAGGCAAAGTTCCCAAGATTCAAAAGCAAAACCATGAAGCATAATCCCTAAGCAACGGTCAAACAGGAGTTCATGGTAAACAGGTACAAACAGGAACAAGATCCAAGTCTCAAGAAGCCAGAGGCATGCTGCCAAAAGCCAAGGTAAATCCACAGAAGTTAACATGTGAAGAGTAACGTTGGACTGACAGGGATTGCCTGTCGGCTGCATCATTAAATAGTTTTCGCAAACATAAAAGCATTGCGTTGACCTTTGGCTTCATGCTTGCTGGCCAGACATGAACTTCTATGGACTCTTAATTGTAAACGATCTTGTCTAGTCATTAATTCAGTCTTATCATCAAGGCTAAGCAACTCATTATCTCCGGCCAGCTGGGTCTCATCAGTCTGGGAACCGAAAGGATCCACCTGAACTTGTGGAGTTGTTTCACTAACTTTATCTAAAGGCACATTCCATTCCCCGGGGAACAGGCTTGCTGTTTCTCCTTCAGAAGCCTCACTATCAGCCCCGTCTATAGCATGTACAGAAATCTGTAACCCATCAGCCTCCTCGTCATCCTGCAAAAAGACAGGTTCAGAAGACCCAGCAGGCCCAGAAAGTTTAGACTCAGGCTCAGTGTGAGTCACAACAAAAGCCTAGCATATAAGTTAGGCCTGGTCAAGGAACGGAGACCGCTTTGGCCACCTTGATTAATGACTTCCACAGATAATTAGACAGGGGGAGTGTGTCCCTGCTGGTTCTTCTAGATCTCTCAGCAGCTTTCAACACCATTGACCATGGTTTCCTCCTGGGTCGGCTCTCCGGAATGGGTCTTGGGGGTGGCTCTGCTCCTTTCTGAAGGGGACATCTGCTTGGACCCCTGGCCATTGACCTGTGGTATCCCACAAGGTTTGATTCTACCCTCCATGCTTTCCAGTATCTACATGAAACTGCTGAGTGAAGTCATCCAGAGTTTTGGAGTTCAGTATCTACGCCGATGACATACTCTACTACTCTTTTCAACTCCATCTCCCATTCAGAACTGATGCAGTTTGACACTGTAATGGCTATGGTTCAATGCTAGGAAACAATGAGAATTTTAGTTTGACGAGGCCTTGAACCTTCTCTGCCAAAGAGTTCCCCATCAAACTATAGACACTATGATTCCACAGGATTGAGCCATGGGAATTAAAGTGGTTTCAAACTGCCTTAATTCTACAGTGTAGATACATCATTGACTGATCCAAAGTCATCTAATGAATGCTATAGTTCAGTGTTTCTCAACTGGGGGTCAGGACCCCTGGAGTGGTCCCGAGGGGGTGTCAGAGGGGTCACCAAAGACGACCAGAAAACACAGTATTTTCTATTGATAATGGGGGTCCTTAGTGGGAAGTCTGGCCCAATTCTATCATTGGTGAGGTTCAGAGTACTCTTTGATTCTATGTGACCTATAAATCCCAGCAACTACAGTTCCCAAATGTCAAGGTCTATTTTCCCCAAACACCACCAGTGTTTACATTTGGGCATATTGAGGATTCGTGCCAAGTGTGGTCCAGATCCATCATTATTTGAGTTCACAGTGCTCTGTGGATGTAGGTGAACTACAACTCCAAAACTCTAGGCCAATGGCCACCAAACCCTTCTGGTATTTTGTGTTGGTCATGGGAGTACTGTGTTCCAAGATTGGTTCAATTCCATTGTTGGTGGAGTTCAGATGCTCTTTGATTGTAGGTAAACTATAAATTCCAGCAACTACAATTCCCAAATGACGAAATCAATCCTCCCCGCAACCCCATCAGTATTCAAATTTGGGTGTATCGAGTATTTGTGTCAAATTTGGTCCAGTGTATGAAAATACATCCTGCATATCAGATATTTATGTGACAATTCATAACAGTAGAAAAATTAGCAGTTATGCAGAAGCAACAAAAATAATTTTATGGTTGGGGGGGTCACCACAACATCAAGAACTGTATTAAGGGGTCGCGGCATTAGGAAGGTTGAGAAACACTACTATAGTTGAACATGGATTTGCACCCAAGTCTTCTCAATCCTGTTGCAGTACTTTAACTATTAGGGCTGGGCGGTTTCGTTCGTTAATTTCGTAATTCGTTACTGATTCGTATTTAAATTAGCTTACGATCCGATATTGAGCCATGCAGGAGCAACTAAAAATTGAAACGAATTTTTCAATTTATTTCGTAATCGTTTCGAAATCGTTTTGAAATCGTTTCGAAATCGTTTCGAAATCGTTTCGAAATTGTTTCGTTATTATTTCCATATCTCTGGTGCAAGTTTTATAGTTGTTGTTTGTTTTATCAGTGATAAAAAAATAAATTATCACACCAACAGTCAACAACAGAGGGAGAGGGAAGCTTCAGAAGTTCCCCCTGTCCCATTTGGAGGCTTTTTTAGCATATTGCGCAATTGCGTCCACCATTAACGAATCAATTCGAAATTTACAAAATTTCGTAAATAACGAATTTTTTTTAAAGAAAAATTTGGAATTCTTTTAAAAAACGAAACACAATGGACCCCCTAAAAATGAAACGAGTTTAGAAACAAATTTTTGCGTTGTTACCCAGGCCTACTAACTATACTGAATGGCTCATTTAGAAACAAACCAAATCTGGGTATCCTGTCATTTGGTGCCCATTATAATATTCTGGTTTGTGCATAATGGTTTTGTTGGGTATATTGCGGATACTTTCGATTACCTGCTTCAGTTCCTTGACCTCATCTTTCAGTGCATAGACAGTGTCCACGAGGCTCCTAAAAAAAAAAGCAGATGGTACAAATATAATAAACATACAGTGGAAACAAATCCTTGCACTTCAAAAACTGTGAACTAAAATCTCATCCCTTTGATCTTTGGCTCTATCTAGCCTAGAAATCTGGTCCTTGAGTCTCCCATTCTTGATTTGAAGACCATCCTGTGCCTTAGACCAAATGTGGTGAGTCTGAAGGGCTGTTTGGGGTAAGCTTTGTAGAAAGCTCTCCCTAAAGAGGCTCACTTGGCAACTTCATCGAGGTCTTCCTGGCACCAGCTAAATGTTGTAGTTCAGCCTGTGACTGTGTCTGATGTTCATCATGGTAATGGTTTTTCAGGCACTGGGAATGCGGGTTTTCCTGGTCCCGAGTTAAGCTCAGGCAAGAGACCTGAGGTGTCTTATGAATGGAGCGTTTCTCCTGCAGATTCACAAGGTCACATTCCTAAGAGGGCCCCCCTTGAATGTGGGGTCCCTCAGGGGGCTATCCTTTCCCCCTGTTGTTTAACATCTCTATGCGACCACTTGCCCAACTGGTGCGAGGCTTTGGACTTGAGTGCTATGAGTATGCTGATGACACTCAACTCATTCTGAGGATGGATGGCCGACCAGACTCCATACCCGATAATTTCCATCAATGCCTTGAGGCCGTTACTGGATGGTTGCGTGCCAGCAGGATAGGCAACCGCCAGGGCAGGCAACCGCCATCCAGGGTAGGCAACCGGATCACTCCTCTGTCTGGGTGACCCAATCAAAGGATCTCCATCTTGCTGGATTCACCAATCCAGCAAGATGGAGATCCTTTGGTTGGGTCACCTGGACGGAGGAGTGATCCGGTTGCCTGCCCTGGATGGCGTGACATTATGCCCGTCATCTTTGGTAAAGAGTCTGGGAGTCCTTTTAGACCCTCTGCTGACGATGGAGGCCCAGGCCTCCGCTGCGAGCAGAGTCGTATTTTTCCATCTGCGTCAGGCTAGGTGTCTGGCTCCCTATCTGTCCAGGGATGACCTGGCCACAGTGATCCAGACTATGGTCATCTCAAGGTTGGACTACTGTAATGCCGTCTACATAGGCTTGCCTTTATCGGTGATCCGGAAACTTAAACTAGTGCAAAATGCTGCTGCCTGGTTTCTCGCAGGGGTCCCAGCGAGGTGTCATATCACTCCAATCTTGCAGCAACTGCACTGGTTGCCGATCGAGCACCAGATTACCTTCATGAGGAAGAACTTCCTGACTGTGAGAGCCATTCAGCAGTGGAACTCTCTGCCTCGGAGTGTGGTGGAGGCTCCTTCTTTGGAAGCTTTTAAACAGAGGCTGGATGGCCATCTGTCAGGGGTGATTTGAATGCAATATTCCTGCTTCTTGGCAGAATGGGGTTGGACTGGATGGCCCATGAGGTCTCTTCCAACTCTTTGATTCTATGATTCTATGATTCAAAGTGCTGATTCTTACCTTTAAGGCAGTGGTTCTCAACCTGGGGTCCCCAGATGTTTTGGCCTACAACTCCTAGAAATCCCAGCCAGTTTACCAGCTGTTAGGATTTCTGGGAGTTGAAGGCCAAAAACATCTGGGGACCCCAGGTTGAGAACCACTACTTTAAGGTCTTATATGGCCTGGAGCCGGAGTACCTGAGGGACCGCCTCACCCCCTACCAACTCCCAAGATCACTCCACTCAGACAATCAGAATCTCCTTGAACTTCCCAATTTTAGGACCTTTCACCTGATGTCTACTAGGCGCAGAGCTTTCACAGTGGTGGCTCCTTACCTGTGGAATGCCTTTCCAGCGGAAACACGACCTCTCCAAGACTTACTATCTTTTCGTAGAGCTTCTAAAACTTATTTATTTAGGCTGGCATTTGAATCTTGCTGGTTGAAAATTTTCTTTGATTTTAAATGTAATGTATCACATATGTATATTGTAAACTGCTCCGAGCCTTCAGGGAGTGGCGGTATATAAATTTGATAAATAAATAAATATATTGGAAACCAGAAGAACTTTTACCACAACTCAACTCACTTTTCTTCTGTGACGGTTTGCCCATTGCTTCGTGTTTCCTCAATGATGATTTTCTCTTCTTCTGGAAGCAGGACTTGGGCGACAGAGTCTTTACGGGAACCTGAGCGGAAGGAGAATATGTTTTCACAATAAGAATGTAAAGACATCTCAGTCCTTCCCTTGGGTACAGCATGCATTTTCCTACGTCTTGGCCTTCAATTCAAGAGTCAAGGACAAATGGACTCATTATCCCAAAGGCTAGACAACACCAGAAGAAAGACGAATTGGTCAGGACTCAACGATTACTGCAAAGAAAAGAAAATCCCACTGATGCTAGATCTATCCGACGTATAAACAGAGACAATATAAGAAGAGACATCAGAGAAACAGGAAAATCTGAAGAAACAAGTAAATCAGTGACTAGAGGGTGCTTGGGAAGTTGTTTTTAACCACTTTTTGTCTATTCTTTTCCCCTTCTCCTCTTTCCCTCCCCCCTTCCCGTATCCCTTCCCTCCCCTTTCATCCCTTTACCCCTCCTCTATAAAACCCATACCCCTCACCCCCCTACCTCTCCGACCCTTTTTCTGCCCCCCCTCCTTCAGTTCTCTCTTTTATATATGCAATGTAAAATATTTGAAAAACATTAATAAAAAAAAATTCAAGAGTCAAGGACTAGCAATAAAAGAGACGTCATTTGACAAAACCCCCACATATCTTCCTCTATCTGGGTGCAATTTTTTTAATGTACCATCTCAACATCTCCAACAAATGCTTGTCTCTCTGTTTCCATCTCTTCAGAAGATGTTTACGCCTCACCCAGGAAGCTGCTTTTCTGAAAGGTACGGCAGATGAATTGATAGCATATTTTGGGCTTCCTATCCAAAGCTCAAATCACATCCTGAGATTACTATCAGTTTTACTCTCAGTGAGTTGAGAGGCAACTGAGTAAGAAGGTTCTGTTTTCACTCCTCCACTTCCTCCATCTCTTTTGTGGCCATTTGGCCTGCTCTTTCTAAGACCGTTTTCATTGGACCCTTTCAAAAGCCTGGGCTTTGTCCCACCAGAGTCCAAGGACAGTTGGCTAAATATCTGAATAAAACAAACTACCGTATATACTTGAAGATAAGCCGGGTTTTTCCAGCCCTTTTTATTATTGGAGCCCCTGGTGGCACAATGGATTAAACCCTTGTGCTAGCAGGACTGAAGACCAATGGAATACAGAACCAGAAGGAGAAAAAAAAACTATATGAGAAGATGGTCAGAAAATATGGGGAAAACAATTAAAAAAGAAAAATGGAAAGAAATATGGAAAACAAAAATCAAATACACACAAGCAACTGATCTCAAAGAAAATTGGATTAAAGTCGCACATAGATGGTACACGACACCCCAGAAACTTGGAAAATGTTATAAAAATATAAATACTAAATGTTGGAAATGCGGATAGAAGGGACGTACTTCCATATGTGGTGGTCGTGTACCAAGGCTAAGATATATTGGAGAAAAATACAGAAGACACTACAGGAAATATTAAATATAAGAATTCCATTTGAACCAGAAATATTCCTATTAGGAATATGTAAAAGTAACCCACTTTGCTGACAACAATTTGTAACAGGATGACCGTTCTAATGCCACCGAATGCCACCAATTTGTAATAGTGTGTTCCACTTCGCCAATTTGCAACGGGATGTGTTTTACTGTGGTTAGCAACACTGGCCAATCTGCGAAGGTATTCCACCTACTACTGTTTAAATCTCATAAGGTTTGCTAATTTATAAAAGGTGTGGATAATTATAGATGTAATTCAGGTAACTACCACCAACGGGAGGTAATGCCGATGAGAACTGGTTCCCCAGACGCAGAGATATGGAGATGACACTGTCTTCAAACAAAAGTTAATAAGTTTATTTTGAACAAAGCGTATGGTTGCAGGCTGTTGGTTTACTTGGAATAACTTAGAGAACTTGTAGAACTTTAAATGTAACTTGGTTTGCAATACAGATCACACTTCTGTATAACACAACTTGTATTTGACTTTTACTGTAGTGAAGCACTTTCTTAAAAAATGTTTCCTGAGGTGAATAGCCTTCCTGTTTGATCCTTTCTTGATCAAACCTTAGATCTAGGGCTGGGCGGTTTCGTTCGTTAATTTCGTAATTCGTTACTGATTCGTATTTAAATTAGGTTACGATCCGATATTGAGCCATGCAGGAGCAACTAAAAATCGAAACGAATTTTTCAATTTATTTCGTAATTGTTTCGTAATCGTTTCGTAATCGTTTCGTAATTGTTTCCGTATGTCTGGTGCAAGTTTTAGGGTTGTTGTTTGTTTTATCAGTGATAAAAAATAAATTATCACACCAACAGTCAACAACAGAGGGAGAGGGAAGCTTCAGAAGTTCCCCCTGTCCCATTTGGAGGGTTTTTTAGCATATTGCGCAATCGCGTCCGCCATTAACGAATCGATTCGTTAATTGTTTTGTAATTTCCGAAATTTTGAATATCGAACTTTTTTAAAGAAAAATTTTGGAATTCTTTTAAAAAACGAAACGCAAAAACCCCCTAAAAACGAATCGAGTTTAGAAACAAATTTTTCTGTGGTTACCCAGCCCTACTTAGATCTCTAGTTCTTTCCTAACTAGGGATCTAAACAAGCTTCCCTTAGTCTTCTCTGACTAATGAAACTAATCAGGTTTCCCCCTTCAACCTTCCCAGATTGAAGAAACCTCTGGCTGTTCACACACACTGCTTCTCCACTTCCCTCTCTCCTCTCTCAACTGCTCACTCCAAACTCCAAACCCTAACTAACTGCTTCTTTTCAAAATGCAGATAGATTTCTCTTGCTAGGCTCCGCCCACTTTCCACTCTCTCCTGCCTGGTCTCCTTGGCAACGCCACAATGGATACAACCAGTTATCTCTAGTTTTCAGCTACTGTTGCCAACCAAATAGTTAAACAGTTCAAATACATATACCTAGTTTCAATAACTTCCTTACAGAATAATAGACCAAGAAATAGAGAAGAATACAGATAAAATCCTCTTTCTGCTAAATACAGCAGCGAGAATTTGCTATGCGAAACTATGGAAAAAAGAAGACATACCAGAAATTAGCGATGGGATAGAAAAAGTGGTAGATATCAAAAACATGGACAGGTTAACATATTTAATAACAAAAAAATAAGGGACCCCAATAAAAGAGACCGACTGGACAAAGGTAACAAACTACCTAAAACAGAGAAATGGATACACAATACTATGAAGGGAAGAGAAAACAAGACCGAAGAATGAGAGGAGAAGAAAGAAAGAAGAGGAAAAACCACCAGAAAGATATTCAGGAAGTCAACAAAGAAGGCATAACATTCTGCTCCTATTTTTAGCTCTACTTTCTTTTCTTTTTCTTTTTTCTTTTTTTTGTCGTTTTTTTTAGTATTTGTCTATTTGTCTTTTTCCTATTTTCATTTCTTATTTATTTGTTTGTTTTTGCACTATTTTTTTTGCACTATTTTTTCTCTGCACAAAATGGAAAAAATTCTGTTTTTCAATAAAGATGATTATATATATATATATATATACATACATACCAACAGGTCGGAGGTTTGAATCTGGGGAGAGCGCGAATGTCATTATCTCCTGTCTAGATCTTCCCTAGATCTAGACAGGAGATAATGCTTCTGGAACATAGCTATACAGCCCAGAAAATAAACAACAACTCACCCCATGTTCAGTTTCTACCATACCCAGTTGATGCATTTAAGCCACCAACCTGAACTCAAAGTCTGCTGAAAGCTTGCGCCGGTGCAATAAGCCTCAATCACTTTGAGAATTTGCGCATCTTCCTCCAAGGCAGCAGTACCTGGAAAAAAACATTAACTTTTGAATAGCGAAAAGGTTGGAAAGTACTTCAAAAATCCATATTGCTCAAGTGAAAATTTCACAATCCAGGACTGATTCTATGCAAAATTCACACAGGATTATTTTGCACCGAAAATAGCATTTTCTGCACAGGAAAGTTTTGCACACAAAAAGTGAGGATACGTAGGTTTCTTGGGATGGAAGACATACTTTTCCTAATGACGAATTCCTCATCGGACGGTTTCCTCTCCGTTTTCCTCTTGGGAAGAAATTTCTTCATCGTTTTTGGGCTCTTGCTGGAATCCTACATAAACAAAGAGAACTAACTAAAGTCCCATTGGTAATTGAAGGGATTTTCAAAGAAGCAAAGATAGGAATGTGTTGTTAAACAAAATCTGAACTGAACTTAGGAAAATATTATTTGTGGGATGGGGTGGAATTTCCACCTCTTCTTTATTTAAGAAAGGAAGATAATGTTGCAAGCTGAGGCTTACCTTCAAGATGTAAGACATCCGCTAGGAGGGAATATGAAAAGAAAAAGGAGACAAGTATGAGGGGAGGCGGTCAATGTTTACCAAAGAACTCTACTATAGGTTGCAGATTGCTTATGTAATGTTTCTGAAATACTCCAACCCTGTTTAAGAGAGTGACGCCATTGCTTTCTGGTGGTTCAGTGTGTACAAACGTTGATGCAAAATGTGTAAAACATTTACCTTTAGGCTATGCAGTATATCTATATAAATAAAAATGTAATGTTCGTTTGTGGGATTAACATAACTCAAAAACCACTGGACGAAATGACACAAAATTTGGACACAACACCCCTAACAGACCAATGAGTGACCATCACTCATAACCCCCCCCCCCCAAAAAAAAAACAGTGGAAAGGACTTAAAAACCCCAAAAGCTAAATGAAAAGATAAATGACAATACAGGGAAAAAAGGAAGGAAGAGGGAGGGAGGGAGGGAGGGAGGGAAGGAAGGAAGGAAGGAAGGAAGGAAGGAAGGAAGGAAAGAGGTAGAGAAGGAAGGAGAGAAAGAGGAAAAGAAAAAGGGGGAAGGAAAGAAAGGGGTAGAGAAGGAAGGAAGGAGAGAAGGAAAAAAAAGGAAAGGAAGGAAAGAGGGAGCGAATGAAGAAGGGAAAGAAAGAAGGAGGGAAGGAAAGACAGAAGGAAGGGTGGAAGCAAAAAGCAAATGAAGGAAGGAAAGAGGTAGAAAAGGAAGAAAAGAGAAAGAGGAAAAGAAAAAAGGGGAAGGAAAGAAAGGGGTAGAGAAGAAAGGAAGGAAAGAAGGAAAGGAAGGAAAGGGAACGATGGAAGGAGGGAAAGAGGTAGAGAAGGAAGAAAGGAGAGAAAGAGGGAGGGCAGGAAAGACAGAAGGAAGGATAGAGGCAAAAAGGAAAAGGAAGGAAAGAGGAAGAGAAGGAAGAAAGGAGAGAAAGGGAAGGAAAAGAAAAAGGGAAGAAGGAAAGAGGAAGGAGAGAGAGAAAGAAAAAAAGGGAAGGAAGGAAGGAAGGAAGGAAGGAAGGAAGGAAGGAAGGAAGGAAGGAAGGAAGGAAGAAAAGAGGGAGCGAAGGAAGGAGGGAAAGAAGGAGAGAAAGAGGGAGGGAAAGTTGGCTACAGCAACGCGTGGCAGGTACAGCTAGTCTATATAAATAAAATTGTAATGTTCGTTTGTGGGATTAACAGAACTCAAAAACCACTGGACGAATTGACACCAAATTTGGACACAAGACACCTAACAACCCAATGTATGTCCTTCACTCCAAAAATTGAGTTTGTAATTTGGGAGATGTAGTTGCTGGCATTTATAGTTAACTTACAATCAGAGAGCATTCTGAACTCCACCAATGATGGAACTGAACCAAACTTGGCACACAGAACTCCAATGACCAACAGGAAATACTGAAAGGGTTTGGTGGGCCTTGACATTGAGTATGGGAGTTGTAGTACACCTATATCCAGAGAGCACTGTGGACTCAAACAATGATGGATCTGGACCAAATTTGGCACAAATATTCCATATGCCCAACTAGGAACACAGATGGAGCTTGGGAAAAATAGACTGTGATATTTGGGAGTTGTAGTTACTGGGATTTATAGTTCACCTACAATCACAGGGCATTCTGAAGTCCACGAACGATAGAATTGGAGCAAACTTCTCACACAGAACCCTGATGACCAATAGAAAATACTTAAGGCCATCCAGTCCAACCCCCTTCCCCAGGGCAAGAAAACATAATCAAATACTGTTTACACACAATCATAAAGAAATTACTAGTAAGTGAATAAAAGTTTTTGGAGAGACAGAGCACCCAGCAGTGTTGCCTTTCAAACATGGGCTTTAAATAGGACAGGCGTGCCCGTGACACAATTTAAAGAGAAAGGAGAAGGCACAAAGAGTGTGTGCAAGCTGTTTTTGTGATGCTTCCTGAAAGCGGTCAGTGGCAGGAAGAGAAACGCCTCCTTCACAAAGCGTTGGATGGCCTCCCAAGTTGCTACAACCAGAGGAGGACCTTAAATAAGTGTTTCCTACTAGAAGCAAATCTTCTGAAAGGATCAAAAGGTTGATTTTGTTGGTTGTTGCATTGCTCTAGCGTTGCAATGCCAGCTTCCTGTATGATGCAAACCCAATTTCCTGTGGGTTATGATTTGAATAATGGTGCATTTTGAGATTGATGTGAGTAAAGCAGTTAAACTATCTCTACCATAAACACGGCTTATAGAAGAACTAAGAAAAACCTAACAACCCCGAAGATAAAAGGTTTCAAGTTGGCAATTTGCTGATGAGTGGATTTTTTTTTTTTAGAAGTGTGGCTTTCATGGGTTGTTGTAGGTTTTTTCGGGCTATATGGCCATGTTCTAGAGGCATTCTCTCCTGACATTTCGCCTGCATCTATGGCAAGCATTGTGCTGGTACAGCTGTACCAGAATCTCCATCTTTATTTGCTTTGTATTAAGTCAGTGGTTCTCAACCTTCCTAATGCCGTGACCCCTTAATACAGTTCCTCATGTTGTGGTGACCCCCAACCATAAAATTTTGCTCCTGTTATGAATCATAATGTAAATATCTGATATGCAGGATGTATTTTCATTCACCAAACTTGGCACGAATACCCAATATGCCCGTATTTAAATACTGGTGTGGTTGGGGAGGATTTATTTTGTCATTTGAGAGTTGGAATTGCTGGGATTTATAGTTCACCTACAATCAAAGAGCATTCTGAACTCCACCAATGATGGAATTGAACCAAACTTGGTACACAGAATTCGCATGACCAATAGAAAATACTGGAAGGGTTTGGTGGGCATTGACCTTGAGTTTTGGAGTTGTAGTTCACCTACATCCAGAGAGCACTGTGGGCTCAAACAACGATAGATCTGGACCAGAATTAGCACAAATAATATACCCAAATGTGGTGGTTTGGGGAAAATAGACCTCGATATTTGAGAGTTGTAGTTGCTGGGATTATAATTCACCTAAAATCAAAGAGCATTCTGAACTCCACCAACAATGGAGTGGAACAAACCTTGGCACACAGAACTCCTATGATTAACTCCTCGCGAGGAGAGCCCTCGGTTGGGTGTGGCATTGGGGGCGGGGCCTAAGGAGGCGGCCTCGCGACCCCTCCAAAATGCCCAAATGACCCCCCTGGGGGTTGCGACCCCCAGGTTGAGAACCGCTGTATTAAGTGTTTGCTTGCAGCCCAAGGCTTGGGATTCTGCAGAAGGCTGGCTTCCTGTTAAAGTTTGCAGTTATAGGGCAGGCCCCCTGTCCATCATCGTTAAGTTTCGTTCCGCCCCCTGTTCAGGACTATTGAGAAGGGAAGGGAGCCATTTTCAGTCAGTCTCAGCGAGGAAAGTCAATGTACAGGACTATACAGACTTCTCCTGTATAAAGGCTTCAACCCTTAAGATTTCCCAGGGGAGAACAGTCTTAAGAGCATCTAAAGATTCCCAACGGTTCCCAGGGAAACAGCCTTACAGCCCCGAGGAATTTCGGAGGGAATAACAACTTTAAACATCAAGAACTCCAGCTAAGGGACTACAGGCCTACTGGTAGGTCCACTCGGTTTTGAGACGCAGTTCAGCCCGGTAGTGGATCCACATCAGTTAGTTTTAGGATCACAGTTAGCCTGGGAGAAGTTTGGAAAGTGATTTTCCTTGAGTAAAAGTAACAGTTAGAAGCCACCAGTTGCACAAAAGCCTGGAAGCATTGGTTTAACCTTTTGAAGACAAAAGAAGTTTCTGTTGCTTGTTCATCAATAAAAGACTTTGTTATATTTTACAAGCCCTCTAGAGACTGTTTATGGTGAAAATCCTTAAGAATTTCTCTTCGGGCCCCCTGGCTTCCCGCTGGGCTAAAGTTGCACGTCCTGTTTTAAAAGCAATTCATTTCAAGCCCAGCGCGCGACAGAACAAGCATCCTCAGAGGTAGTGAGGAGGCTTGCCATAGATGCAGGCGAAACGTCAGGAGAGAATGCCTCTAGACCATGGCCATATAGCCTGAAAAAACCTACAACAACCCAGTGATTCCAGCCATGAAAGCCTTCGACAATACATTGTGGCTTTCATGTTCATAAGAAGCTAACATTAGCCAATGCTTGTTTATGTGGTGGCACAATGGGTTAAACCATTGAGCTGTTGAATCTGCCTACCTAAAGGTTGGCAGTTCAAAGCCATTGGTCATGGTGAGCTCCCGTTGTTAGTCCCTGCTTCTGCCAAGCTAGCAGTTCCAAAACATGCGAATGTGAGTAGATCAATAGGTACCCCCAGTGGCGCAGTGGGTTGAACCCCTGTGCTGGCAGGACTGAAGACCGACAGGTCGCAGGCTCGAATCCGGGGAGAGGCGGATGAGCTCCCTCTATCAGCTCCAGCTCCTCATGCGGGGACATGAGAGAAGCCTCCCACAAGGACGATAAATAAGGTTTGAATCCAGGGAGAGAACGGATGAGATTCATCTATCAGCTCCAGCTCCTCATGCGGGGACATGAGAGAAGCCTCCTACAAGGATGATAAAACATTTGGGTATCCCCTGGGCAACGTCCTTGCAGACGGCCAATTCTCTCACACCAGGTAAATAGGACCAGAGCCGTTTAGGGATTTATAGGTCAACACCAGCACTCTGAATTGTGCTCGGGAGCTGATTGGCAGCCAGTGGAGCTGGCGCAACAGAGGAGTAGTATGCTCCCTGTACTCCGCTCCATTAATAATCTGGCTGCCGCTCATTGTACTAGTTGTAGCTTCCGGGCAGTCTTCAGAGGCAGCCCCACGTAGAGAGCATTGCAGTAGTCTATACGGGATGTAACCAGAGCATGTACCACCGTGACCACTGTGCCTTGGTCCTTTCACTAGTGGCTGCGACTTCCCGGCGGATGTCAGGTGGTGCAATACCGGCTAGACAGGTAATGCAACCTGAGCCCTGCCACATACACAATGGAGGACCTCCTTGCGGCAACACCCGAGGCACTCCAAGTGGCCAGATACTGGTCAAAGGACATTTAATCAACTACCAAACTTGCAAACTTTGTGTTTTGTCTGTTTGTGCTGTGGATGTAGCGTACCTGGATTTCAATAAGGCCTTTGACAAGGTCCCCCATGACCTTCTGGCAAGGAAACTAGTCCAATGTGGGCTAGGCAAAACTACGGTGAGGTGGATCTGTAATTGGTTAAGTGGACGAACACAGAGAGTGCTCACTAATGCTTCCTCTTCATCTTGGAAAGAAGTGAAAAGTGGAGTGCCTCAGGGTTCCGTCCTGGGCCCGGTCCTGTTCAACATCTTTATTAATGACTTAGATGAAGGGCTAGAAGGCATGATCATCAAGTTTGCAGACGACACCAAATTGGGAGGGATAGCCAATAGTCCAGAGGACAGGAGCAGAATTCAAAATGATCTTAACAGATTAGAGAGATGGGCCAAAACTAACAAAATGAAGTTCAACAGTGACAAATGCAAAATACTCCACTTTGGCAGAAAAAATGAAATGCAAAGATACAGAATGGGTGACGCCTGGCTCGAGAGCAGTACGTGTGAAAAAGATCTTGGAGTCCTCGTGGACAACAAGTTAAACATGAGCCAACAGTGATGTGGCGGCAAAAAAAGCCAATGGATTTTGGCCTGCATCAATAGGAGCATAGTGTCTAGATCTAAGGAAGTAATGCTACCCCTCTATTCTGCTTTGGTTAGACACATCTGGAATATTGTGTCCAATTCTGGGCACCACAATTCAAGAGAGATATTGACAAGCTGGAATGTGTCCAGAGGAGGGCGACTAAAATGATCAAAGGGTCGGAGAACAAGCCCTATGAGGAGCGGCTTAAGGAGCTGGGCATGTTTAGCCTGAAGAAGAGAAGGCTGAGAGGAGATATGATAGCCATGTATAAATATGTGAGCGGAAGCCACAGGGAGGAGGGAGCAAGCTTGTTTTCTGCTTCCTTGGAGACTAGGACGCGGAACAATGGCTTCAAACTACAAGAGAGGAGATTCCATCTGAACATTAGGAAGAACTTCCTGACTGTGAGAGCCGTTCAGCAGTGGAACTCTCTGCCCCGGAGTGTGGTGGAGGCTCCTTCTTGGAAGCTTTTAAGCAGAGGCTGGATGGCCATCTGTCAGGGGTGATTTGAATGCAATATTCCTGCTTCTTGGCAGGGGGTTGGACTGGATGGCCCATGAGGTCTCTTCCAACTCTTTGATTCTATGATTCTATGATTCTAATACAAATGTCTGGTTGCTCCTGACACGATAAATAAATAAATAACCTCCCCATGGCCAGAGTTGAGCACCATCTCTAAAAAGCTGGAGATGAAAAGAAAAGCCTTGACCTTTGTTCTGTGTATTTGTGTGTCATTGTTATTCCACTGTATTAAAAGGCATTGAATGTTTGCCTATCTGTGTATGTTGTAATCCGCTCTGAGTCCCCTCAGGAAGATAGAGCGGAATATAAATAAACTGTTGTTGTTGTTATTATTATTATTTACACAAAAGCACAGTATGTCACAGCAAACAAGATCTATATGCTGGATTTCGTATCACAAAATCACAAGTTGAATACTTCCCAAGGACTAATAATAATAATAATAATAATAATAATAATATACTGATTATTATTATTATTATTACTAGCTGTCCCCTGGCAGGCATTGCTATGGCTCAGTCTGGTGATCTGGAAAATAAAGTAACGAGAAAGTGTTGGTTTGTAATATATGTAATGTCTTGATGCTTGTGGGTAAACAGTATTTCTTGCTGTTTCTTTGTCAGTGTTGATGTGGAGATTGCCTGGTTTGCCTAGGCAACATAGAATTGTCCTTCTTTAGGGGTCCCTTTCCAATCTATGATACTATATCTCTCTGTGTGTGTGTGTGTATCATATCTTTCTATTTATGACTGGATGGCTCTATGCCAGGAGGGCTATGATACTGTAAACCACCGCCTCCTCCTGAGAAAAATGTATAATATCACAAAGGACTACCACCTCACCCGCCTCATAGGAAACCTGCTACAAAACAGGAGCTTTTTGTTGAGTTCCAGGGCCAGAGAAACAGATGGCGGAAACAGAAGAACGGCCTGCCTCAGGGGAGTGTACTTGCTCCATCCATGTTCAACATCTACACAAATGACCAGCCACTGCCAGAAGGGACAGAGAGTTTCATCTATGCTGATGATCGTGCCATTACCGCTCAAGCAGGGAGCTTTGAGATGGTTGAACAGAAGCTCTCCGAAGCTCTAGGTGCTCTTACTGCCTATTACAGGGAAAACCAACTGATCCCTAATCCATCTAAAACACAGACATGTGCTTTCACCTTAAGAACAGACAAGCATCCCGAGCTCTGAGGATTACCTGGGAAGGAATCCCACTGGAGCATTGCAGCGCACCCAAATACCTGGGAGTCACTCTGGACCATGCTCTGACCTACAAGAAGCACTGCCTGAACATCAAGCAAAAAGTGGGCGCTAGAAACAATATCATACAAAGCTGACTGGCACAACCTGGGGATCACAACCAGACACAGTGAAGACATCTGCCCTTGCGCTATGCTACTCTGCTGCTGAGTATGCATGCCCAGTGTGGAACACATCTCACCACGCTAAAACAGTGGATGTGGCTCTTAATGAGACATGCCGCATTATCACAAGGTGTCTGCGCCCTACACCACTGGAGAAATTACACTGCTTAGCCGGTATTGCACCACCTGACATCCGCCGGGAAGTAGCAGCCAATAGTGAAAGGACCAAGGCAGAGACATCTCCAGCTCATCCCCTGTTTGGGTATCAGCCAGCACGTCAACGACTTAAATCAAGAAATAGTTTTCTAAGATCTACAGAAACACTTGCTGGAACACCTCAGCAAGCGAGAGTCCAAAAGTGGCAGGCTCAAACCCAGAACCTCAACCAATGGCTGATACCAAATGAGAGACTCCCCCCTGGGCACACAGAAGACTGGGTGACTTGGAAGGCGGTGAACAGACTGCGCTCTGGCACCACGAGATGCAGAGCCAATCTTAAGAAATGGGGCTACAAAGTGGAATCCACAACATGCGAGTGTGGAGAAGAGCAAACCACTGACCACCTGCTGCAATGCAACCTGAGCCCTGTCACATGCACAATGGAGGATCTTCTTGCAGCAACACCAGAAGCACCAAGTAGCCAGATACTGGTCAAAGGACATTTAACCAACTACCAAGTTTGCAAAATTTGTTTTTGTGTGTTTGTTTTGTTCTGTTAGAAATGTAATACAATGGTATGGTTGCTGATGACACGATAAATAAATATCTACATCTATGGCTGGATGTTTCTTTGTCAGAAAGGCTTTGATTATGTTTTCTTGCCCTGGTGAAGCGAGTTGGACTGGATGGCCTTAAGTATTTTCTGCTGGACATGGGGATTCTGTGTGGGAAATTTGGCCCAATTCTATTGTTGGTGGAGTTCGGAATGCTCTATGATTGTAGGTGAACTATAAATCCCAGCAACGACAACTCCCAAATGTCAAGGTCTATTTTCCCTAAACTCCATCTGTGTTCACATTTGGGTACATTGAGTATTCGTGCCAAACTTGGTCCAGATACTCATTGTTTGAGTCCACAGTTGTAGGTGAACTATAACTCCCAAACTCAAGGTCAATGCCCACCAAACCCTTCTAGTGTTTTCTATTGGCCATGGGAGTCCTGTGAACCACATTTGGTTCAATTCCATAATTGGTAGAGTTCAGAATGCTCTTTGATTGTAGGTGAACTATAAATCCCAGCAACTACAACTCCCAAATGACAAAATCAGTTTTTTTGAGTGAAGGACATACATTGGATTGTTAGGTATCTTGTGCCCAAATTTGGTGTCCATTTGCCCAGTGGTTTTTGAGTTCTGTTAATCCCACAAACGAAAGCTACATTTTTATTTATATAGATTATTATTATTATTATTTGCCTTGTGATCCTTACCTCCTTGTAGCTGAGTGCCACCGAAGGCCGGAGCGGCGGTGCAGGTCGGAGGCAGCTTAAGGTCCAGGGCTTGAGGATTTTGGGGGGCTCCAGCGGGCCTCGAGATTGTCCAAGGGAGCTGAAAGTCTGATAAAAATGACACATTTGTTTATCATTGGGTCCTTTCATTTCAGTTCTGCTCTAGTAAGCCAAAGGCATTCAAAGTGGCCAAGAAACACATTAAAACAGTGACACCTTTGTATCCGAATTTTCAGTTTTGGTTGTCTCTCTGGAAAACTTTTAGGCTGGAATGAAATACAAATATAATAAATAAATAAATGGATCTATCTATCTACCTAAGCTTGAAGAAGTACCGTATATACTCGAGTATAAGCCGACCCAAATATAGAATAATAGAATCATAGAATCAAAGAGTTGGAAGAGACCTCATGGGCCATCCAGTCCAACCCCATGCCAAGAAGCAGGAATATTGCATTCAAAGCACCCCTGACAGATGGCCATCCAGCCTCTGTTTAAAAGCCTCCAAAGAAGGAGCCTCCACCACACTCCAGGGCAGAGAGTTCCACTGCTGAACGGCTCTCACAGTCAGGAAGTTCTTCCTCATGTTCAGATGGAATCTCCTCTCTTGTAGTTTGAAGCCATTGTTCCATTGCGTCCTAGTCTCCAGGAAGCAGAAAACAAGCTTGCTCCCTCCTCCCTGTGGCTTCCTCTCACATATTTATACATGGCTATCATATCTCCTCTCAGCCTTCTCTTCTTCAGGCTAAACATGCCCAGCTCCTTAAGCCGCTCCTCATGGGGCTTGTTCTCCAGACCCTTTATCATTTTAGTCACCCTCCTCTGGACACATTCCAGCTTGTCAATATCTCTCTTGAATTGTGGTGCCCAGAATTGGACACAATATTCCAGGTGTGGTCTAACCAAGGCGGAATAGAGGGGTAGCATTACTTCCCTAGACACTATGCTCCTATTGATATAGGCCAAAATCTCATTGGCTTTTTTTGCCGCCACATCACATTGTTGGCTCATGTTTAACTTGTTGTCCACGAGGACTCCAAGATCTTTTTCACATGTACTGCTCTCGAGCCAGGCATTTTCCCCCATTCTGTATCTTTGCATTTCGTTTTTCCTGCCAAAGTGGAGTATCTTGCATTTGTCCCTGTTGAACTTCATTTTGTTAGTATAAGCCGAGTATAAGCCGAGTATAAGCCGAGGGGAGATTTTTCAGCCTAAAAAATGGGCTGAAAAACTAGGCTTATACTAGAGTATATACAGTGAACCTTTTTGATATCCAAATCTCTCTTGTTCAAAACAGGCAGGCAAAAACTGCCCTTCAAATCATCAGGTTTTTTGGGTTTTTTTGTTGTGTCAGGAGCAACTTGAGAAACTGCAAGTCGCTTCTGGTGTGAGAGAATTGGTCGTCTGCAAGGACGTCGCCCAGGGGATGCCCGGATGTTTTTGATATTTTATCATCCTTGTAGGAGGCTTCTCTCATGTCCCCACATGAGGAGCTGGAGCTGATAGAGGGAGCTCATCCACGCTCTCCCGGATTCGAACCTGTGACCTGTTGGTCTTCAGTCCTATAAATAAAAAAGCTTTATTTATACCCCGCTACCATCTCCTCAAGGGACTCGGTGCGGCTTACATGAGGCCGAGCCCGCAATACAACAATAAAAAAGCAATAGCAAACAAACAATACAAAACAATTAAAATATAACTCATAAACCAAAATAATAATAGGCAAAATAACCCACTGCGCCACCGGGTGAGAGATCAGCATTGCTAGCATCTTGATCCTTTTTGAAGGATCTCTGAGGATAAGGTCAATATCATCAGCGATTAGATTAGATTTTGGTAATCCTTCTAGAGAACTTTTGTGGTTGAATGAATTACAAATATCTCTACACATAATAAAAGTCAAAATACGTATGTATGTGGCTGTTAGGAATTGTAAGAGTTTGCCCATATCTGCCCTAAGAGATACTGAGGACTCATTGTAACAGGAGAAAGAAAGAAAGAAGAGGAAGAGGAAGGAAAGGATGGTCAAAACGAATGGATGGTTGGGCCGGATCTTTAGAAGATTAGGGTCATAGTGAAAAGCTGAGAGAGAGAGAAGGGTGCCTTCCTAAGAGGCTGCAGACTTACAGAATGGGGGCTCCAAGAGTGCGTCTTGGAGAGAGTGCTGCTCGGAGTCGCTCCTCGCGTAAACCTTTGCAAATGGTCAAGCCACTCGTGCAAGTCATGGCTGTTGTTGCAATATACCGTGATCCGGTCTATCATGCCTCCTGGAAGAAGAGAAAGAAGCACAGCAATCAATTGAGAAATCGCGTCCCAGCAACCCAGCGAGATTCTTCAAGGGTGATGAAAAGATGTATTTTGGGTGTTGGTGGCTAGAATATCAACTCCAGTGAGCCCTAGCCAAGATGCCTGATGTCCAGCTTTTGGGAACTGAAGTCCAAAATTTCTGGAAGATGGAAAGATAACCATTGGATATGAGGAAATTGGAGACTAGTGGGACCTTGAAATTTTCAGAGGGCCACATTCTGTTATAAATATAAATAAGGGACAGAGAGTTTCATCTATGCTGATGATCGTGCAATTACTGCTCTTAGCACTTAGCACTTTGTCCTCCAAAAGCACTTTATACTGATTTAGGCCTGCTTGTATCTCTCCACTAACGCCCCACTTCCTTATCTTGTCCATGTCCAGCATTATTTTTAAATTTCGATGACATTTGGCCTAGCCACAGATTTTAAAGGTGTATTGTGCTATTGTTAATGTTTATGCTATCTGTGTATGTGATTTATTTTAATTGCTTGTATTGTTGTTGTTATTGCTTGTATTGATGTATTGTGGGCTCGGCCAAATGTAAGCTGCACCGAGTCCCTTGGGGAGATGGTAGTGGGGTATAAATAAAGTTTTATTTTATTATTATTATTATTATTATTATTATTATTATTATTATTATTATTGAGGAGGAGGAGGAGGAGGAGGAGGAGGAGAAGGAGAAGGAGAAGGAGAAGGAGAAGGAGAAGGAGAAGGAGAAGGAGAAGGAGAAGGAGAAGAAGATGATCCACTGACCTGAAATCTCAAAGAGGTGCTCAGTCCCGTCCGCATCTTCTAATTTAGTCACCACCATCCCCATTAAAGGGAGTTTTCCCTATTCTCCGAAAAGGAAAACATAATAATACAGCCATGACATCAACAATACTACGATCAACACCGACTGATGTTTGTCTGAATTTTCCAATGAATCACTTCATTGACTGAAAATGCATCTACACCAGGCATGGGCAAACTTTGGCCCTCCAGGCGTTTTGGCCCTCCTACTGGCTGTTAGGAACTGTGAAAGTTGAAGTCAAAACACCTGGAGGGCCAAAGTTTGCCCATGCCCAATCTACACTGTTGAATCAATGCAATTCGACACCACTTTAACTCCTTGGCTTAATGCTATGGATTTCTGGGAATGACAGTTCGGTGAGACACCAGTACATTTTAGCAGAGAAGGTCTTGCAAAACTACAGCTCCCATGATTTTAGCATTGAGTCATGGTACAAAACTGCATTAATCCCATAGTAGAAAAAGACGGAAGAAAGGAAATTAAATTCATAGAATCATAGACTCAAAGAGTTGGAAGAGACCTCATGGGTCATCCAGTCCAACCCCATTCTGCCAAGAAGCAGGAATATTGCATTCAAATCACCCCTGACAGATGGCCATCCAGCCTCTGTTTAAAAGCTTCCAAAGAAGGAGCCTCCACCACACTCCGGGGCAGAGAGTTCCACTGCTGAACGGCTCTCACAGTCAGGAAGTTCTTCCTCATGTTCAGTGGAATCTCCTTTCTTGTAGTTTGAAGCCATTGTTCCATTGCATCCTAGTCTCCAGGGAAGCAGAAACAAGCTTGCTCCCTCCTCCCTGTGGCTTCCTCTCACATATTTATACATGGCTATCATATCTCCTTTCAGCCTTCTCTTCTTCAGGATAAACATGCCCAGCTCCTTAAGCCGCTCCTCATAGGGCTTGTTCTCCAGACCCTTGATCATTTTAGTCGCCCTCCTCTGGACACATTCCAGCTTGTCAATATCTCTCTTGAATTGTGGTGCCCAGAATTGGACACAATATTCCAGGTGTGGTCTAACCAAAGCAGAACAGGGCATGGGAGCATGACTTCCCTAGATCTAGACACTATGCTCCTATTGATGCAGGCCAAAATCCCATTGGCTTTTTTTGCCGCCACATCACATTGTTGGCTCATGTTTAATTTCTTGTCCACGAGGACCCCAAGATCTTTTTCCTGCTCTTGAGCCCGGCATCGTCCCCCATTCTGTATCTTTGCATTTCATTTTTCTGCCTAAGTGGAGTATCTTGCATTTGTCACTGTTGAACTTCACATCACATTGTTGGCTAAATTATGCAATAGTATATCTGATTTAGTGACCAATAAATGGAAGAATCTTTATTGGAAGCATTTCAAAAAAGCCAGATTCCTGTTCATTTTAAGTGGGATCTACTCACCTGATACAGAAACCCACTCATTCGTGGACTTGCTGAAAGCATCAGCAGAACGTTTGAAAACAACATGAAATATCTTTCTTCCTTCTCCTAAAAGAAAAAAACAAAACAAAAATTCTTATGCCGGCCAACAACAACAACAACAACAGCATTTATTTATACCCCACTTTTCTCTCTTAATTGAGACCCAAGTCTAGAAAGGAAGCAAATAGTCATTTCACAAATGAATATCGAAACATCAATGTAAATGTATAGTTGGATTGATTGGTTATTTATAGCTGTCAATCAATGTTGTTTGCACCAGTTAAATTGCTCCTCCTGTTCCATTGTTTGACCCCACCTCTTCCTAGAGAGCAGGACAGTGTTTCCTTTTACATTCCACCATCAAACTTTCTATCAGATGGACGTGAGAGAGAGACTTGGCTCTGAAGCCCTTGATTAAGTTACCTCTCAGCACCAATTCTGGGGTTGTTACCCTTGAGACTTATGCTTCATGGACGGCATTGAGAAGTCTCAAGCATCTTCAAACCAGTTCTTTGGCACCAGAGGAAGGCTTTGTGCCTTCAAAATATAGGTCATTGGAATTGGGGTTGTGATTATTCCAATATTCACAGCCATTGAGAAAGAGGCACCTGGAAAAGCTTCTCAGCTGCAAAACTCCTTTACCCCTTTGAAACTTACAGTTTCTTTGTGAACAATTAAACCTATTTTGAGTTATCTACAGTGTTTTGGTCCCTGGGAATTCCATTTTTCCTAAAGGAGGGCAAGAAGCAATCCCCTGGGGGAAAGATGTCATGTCCATGCCTCTTTCACTAAGAGTTATAGCCCCCAGGCATGACGGCACAGTGCAGCTGTTTGAGAGTCAGCTGCATTAAGATTACTATTGACCAAAAGGTCATTAGTTGGAAGCCCGCCCGGGTCATTGTGAGCTTCCCGCCAATTTGTGTAGCTTGCTGTCAACCTTTGCAGCCCGAAAGACAGTTGCATCTGTCAAGTAGGAAATTTAGCTACCGCTTATGCGGGGAGGCTAATTTATGGTGCCATAAAAATCTCCAGCAAGCATGCAAAGAATGAGGAAGTACTTTATCAATGTCACAAATGGACGGTGAAGTGACAGCTCCCCTGGTGGCCAGAATACCCTCATGAAAAGCTGGAATGTTAAATAGCCGCTGTGTGTCAGTCTATATATGTTGTGTGTCTATGGCATTGAATGTTTGCCATGTATATGTACATTGTAATCCGCTGCTGAGAGATCCAAGAGAGCCAGCAGATGAAATCCCATCTTCCTTACCTCACTTCCTCCATATTGGACCATGACTTGGGACATGTAAAGTACGCTGCCCAGGGACTTTATATCGTCACCTTCCCATCCTTGAATGGATTCGGAAAGGATCTGGAGCTCGAGCTGTTTTCGCTTCCTCATCTCTTGACATTGGGACTGTCAAAAAGGAGACAACGCTTTGGTTAAATTAGATCACCTGATCACAAACATTTAATGAAAACAAAAATAAAGTCACCAAAATCTAGGGATTCAGCCAAAAACATTGAATCCAGGTATCAAGTGGACTGATTTGGATGGACACAGAAGACATTCAAAGAGCAGCAAGAGTCTGGGTCCTACTCAGGGGTGCATTTACACTGTTAGCAGTTGAATGCCAATTGAGCTGCCATGGCTCAATGGTATGGAATAATGAGAATTGTAGTTTTACAAGGTCTTTAGCCTTCTCTGGCTGGATCTATGCTGCCAAATAACACTGTGGCCAGGACAGAGCACTCCACTCATTACTTTTTGGATGGAAGAATGGGTGAGCACCCTTTGGGTTCGTTCACTTAACCAATTGCAGATCCAGCTAACTATACTTTTGCCTAGCCCACATGGGACTAGTTTCCTTGACAGAAGGAATTGTTGTTTGGGCTTGGCATCATGTAAACCGCTCCAAGTCCCCATTGGGGAGATGGTGGTGAGATATAAATAAAGATTATTATTGTTGTTGTTGTTGTTGTTGTTGTATTGTTGAAGGCTTTCATGGCCGGAATCATTGGGTTGTTGTAGATTTTTTCGGGCTATATGGACATGTTCTAGAGGCATTCTCTCCTGACGTTTCGCCTGCATCTATGGCAAGCATCCTCAGAGGTAGTGAGGTCTGTTGGAACTAGGAAAAGGGGTTTATATATCTGTGGAATGACTAGGGTGGGACAAAGGACTCTTGTCTGCTGGAGCTAGGTGTGAATGTTTCAACTGACCACCTTGATTAGCATTTGATGGCCTGGCAGTGCCTGGGGCAATCTTTTGTTGAGAGGTGTTTGGATGTGCCAGAATGTTTCCTCTCTGTTGTTATGCTGTTGTAATTTTAGAGTTTTTTTTAATATTGGTAGCCAGATTTTGTTCATTTTCATGGTTTCCATCTCCAACCATCACCCAAGTCAAAAAAGAAGCACCATTAAAGCCTTGGCAGACCGTGCAAAAAGAATCTGCGAAGCCCACCTCCTCCAAGATGAACTTAACCACCTCAACTGGGCTCTACAGGCCAATGGAGACTCCAGACATCAGAAGAGCTGCAAGACCGAGAACAAGCCACGAGAGTCAAGACGAAGATCCACCCAGAGGAAAAGTGTTCCTGCCATACATCAAGGGAACCACTGACCACAGAGGGAAGCTGATGAGGAAACACAACATACAAACTATCTACAGACCCGCCAAGAAAATCCAACAAATGCTACATTCAGCAAAGGACAAGAGGGATCCTCTCACTTCTGCAGGAGTCTACCATGTACCATGCAGCTGTGGACAAGTCTACAGAGGGACCACCAAACGCAGCAGCATTGCCCCGACACGCATCAAGGAACATGAAAGGCACTGCAGACTACTTCAACCAGAGAAGTCAGCCATAGCAGAGCACCTGATGAACCAGCCTGGACACAGCATATGATCTGAGAACACAGAAATGCTGGACCACACCAACAACCACCATGTCAGACTACACAGAGAAGCCGTTGAAATCCACAAGCATGTTGTGGACAATTTCAACAGAAAGGAGGAAACCATGAAAACGAAACCATGAATACTGGCTACCAGTATTTTTTTTAAAAAAAACTCTAAAATTACAACAGCATAACAGAGAGGAAACATTCTGGGACATCTAATCACCTCTCAACAAAAGATTGCCTCAGGCACTGCCAGGCCATCAAATGCTAATCAAGGTGGTCAGTTGAAACATTCACACCTAGCTCCAGTAGACAAGAGTCCTTTGTCCCACCCTGGTCCTTCCACAGATATATAAACCCCTTTTCCTAGTCCCAACAGATCTCACTACCTCTGAGGATGCTTGCCATAGATGCAGACGAAACGTCAGGAGATAATGCCTCAAGAACATGGCCATATAGCCCGAAAAAACCTACAACAACCCTATTATTATTATTATTATTATTATTATTATTATTATTATTATTATTATTAGGTCATGGGAGACCTTGTCAAAGGAATGCCTTCCTGAAATCCAGAAATGCTCCATCCGTGGCATTCCCTGCATCGACCCAGCTTGTAACTCTATCCAAAAAAGAGATCAGATGAGTCTGGCATGACTTCTTTTTGATCAATCCATGTTGACTATTATCAATGACTGCTTGCAGACCATTTCCTTAAATATATTTTCCAGAATCTTGCCTGGTATCAACATGAGGCTGACCAGACCGTAACTGTTTCCTTTTTTCATCCTTTTTTCCCCTTCTTGAAAAGAGCTAGGCACCCCATTGGCCCTCCTCCATTCTTCTGGAACTTCTCCCGTTCTCCAAGAGCTCTCAAAGATGGTTCCGAAATGACTTCCGCTAGTTCCTTCAATACTCTTGGGTGTAGTTGATCTGGTCCTGGGGACTTGAATTGGAGGGCATGAAATAGCAGGACAAGATCTAATGGAGCTACATTTCAGAGAAAGGCCTTTCAATTGAACGTGGTAGCAAGAGGAGTTTAAGAAGAATTGGCCAAAGGCTCTTTCTCCCACCAGAGGCCTTTTAGAAGAAATTGGAGAACCATCTGCTTAGCAACGGATTTGCAGTGACAGGAAGAGATAGTCTTCAAGCCTCCTGCCAAGTCCATGATTCTAATAATTATCCCATATGTCTTGGCCGCAGGAAGGAAGGAGACAATTAGACAAATTCAAAGCGAGACAGAAAGATGGAGAGGCAGAAAGAACGCTTAGGGACAAAATCTCAGCAAGATCTTAAAACAGCCTCAAAGTTGCCAACACAGTAGTTTTAAAAAGCCCTCTGGGGAAGTCACTTTGAAGGAACGCAGTAGATCTGCGTTCCTTCATCCTCATGGACAACAAGTTAAACATGAGCCAACAATGTGATGTGGCAGCAAAAAAAGCCAATGGGATTTTGGCCTGCATCAATAGGAGCAGGCCTATTAGATCTAGGGAAGTCATGCTACCCATGCTCTATTCCGCTTTGGTTAGACCACACCTGGAATATTGTGTCCAATTCTGGGCACCACAATTCAAGAGAGATATTGACAAGCTGGAATGTGTCCAGAGGAGGGCGACTAAAATGATAAAGGGTCTGGAGAACAAGCCCTATGAGGAGCGGCTTAAGGAGCTGGGCATGTTTAGCCTGAAGAAGAGAAGGCTGACAGGAGATATGATAGCCATGTATAAATATGTGAAAGGAAGCCACAGGGAGGAGGGAGCAAGCTTGTTTCCTGCTTCCCTGGAGAGTAGGATGCGGAACAATGGCTTCAAACTACAAGAGAGGAGAGTCCATCTGAACATGAGGAAGAACTTCCTGACTGTGAGAGCCGTTCAGCAGTGGAACTCACTGCCCCAGAGTGTGGTGGAGGCCCTTCTTTGGAAGCTTTTAAACAGAGGCTGGATGGCCATCTGTCAGGGGTGCATTGAATGCAATATTCCTGCTTCTTGGCAGGGGGTTGGACTGGATGGCTCATGAGGTCTCTTCCAACTCTTTGATTCTATGATTCTATGATTCTATGATCCATTGCAACCTTAAATAAAGATGCAGAAGGATGGTAGGCTATCAAGAAAGAAGTTTGGGAAGAAAAAAAAAGAGGAGAGAAAGGAAAAAAATTGGAAGAAAAAGAAATACATAATGCTATTTGGACAAGCTGGAATGTTACAAAATTAGAAATAAGTGATTCCTGAAAAGGTTAAATATGATGGAATAGTCGCACCATTGGAGCGGATTTGCACCACTTCCAGGCCTTCATCCTATGGGTATGGCGCCCCCGGTGGTGCAATGGGTTAAACCAGTGGTCCTCAAACTACGGTCCGCGGGCCGGCCCCGGCCCTCCGAGGGCATCTTTCTGGCCCGTGGGGTGTGGAGAAGGGTGAGAGGCAGTGGGCAAAGTGGCCCAAGCCACTTTGCCCGCCGCCTCCCTGGGCCCAGCCTGCTCTTCTCCTGCCTTCGGGACGCGGCCTCACCACATCCCGAAGGCAGGAGAAAGGGGAGAAGCAGTGGGCAAAGCGGTTTTGGGGCCGCTTCACCCGCCGCCTCCCTGGGCCCAGCCTGCTCTTCTCCTGCCTTCGGGACGCAGCCCTCACCACATCCTGAAGGCAGGAGAAAGGGGAGAAGCAGTGGGCAAAGCGGCTTTGGGGCCGCTTCGCCCGCCACCTCCCTGGGCCCAGCCTGCTCTTCTCCTGCCTTCGGGACGCGGCCTCACCACATCCCGAAGGCAGGAGAAGGGGGGAGCGGTGGGCGAAGCAGTTTTGGGGGTGCTTTGCCCGCCGCCTCCCTGGGCCCAGCCTGCTCTTCTCCTGCCTTCGGGACGCGGCCTCACCACATCCCGAAGGCAGGAGAAGGGGGAGAAGTGGTGGGCGAAGTAATTTTGGGGCCGCTTCACCCACCGCCTCCCTGGGCCCAGCCTGGTCTTCTCCTGCCTTCGGGACGCAGCCTCACCACATCCCGAAGGCAGGAGAAGGAGGGAGGTGGTGTGCGAAGCAGTTTTGGGGCCACTTCACCCACCACCTTCCTGGGCCCAGCCTGGTCTTCTCCTGCCTTCGGGACACGGCCTCACCACATCCCGAAGGCAGGAGAAGGGGGGAGCGGTGGGCGAAGCAGTTTTGGGGGTGCTTTGCCCGCCGCCTCCCTGGGCCCAGCCTGCTCTTCTCCTGCCTTCGGGACGCGGCCTCACCACATCCCGAAGGCAGGAGAAGGGGGAGAAGTGGTGGGCGAAGTAATTTTGGGGCCGCTTCACCCACCGCCTCCCTGGGCCCAGCCTGGTCTTCTCCTGCCTTCGGGACGCAGCCTCACCACATCCCGAAGGCAGGAGAAGGAGGGAGGTGGTGTGCGAAGCAGTTTTGGGGCCACTTCACCCACCACCTTCCTGGGCCCAGCCTGGTCTTCTCCTGCCTTCGGGACACGGCCTCACCACATCCCGAAGGCAGGAGAAGGGGGAGAAGTGGTGGGCGAAGTAATTTTGGGGCCGCT